TAGTTCCCTGGCAGGCAGCAAGATGCATTTGTTTGCTTGCAGATCAGGCAGGCTTCCTGGGTTCCCTCTCTATAGCAGCACCTTTTTTCACCAACAGACTTATTCCTCTCTTTTTAGCAGGCTGTAAACTTTCAGAGAACCCTCAGGAGAGCAGATACTCTGCTTGCTAATGTCTGCTTTCAGTCTGCCGGGACCTATTTGGCTTAATGTTTACACTAATGAACTTAGCACAGGAAATTTCACTGATGACGTGAAGCTGAGTGACCAAACCGATAGAGTGGAAGCTGGAGATTTTATACAGGAATACCTAGATGTTCCTGAAGTCTGGAGCAGGAGGAGATAAAATTAAATTATTCAAAATGCAAGATCACACTTGCGGGAGTTGTTAGCAATGTTTTAGCTATAAAAGCCTGTAAGGTTGTTTGCCAAAATGAGATGGTGAGTAAAAGGGCTCTAACATGCTACTTCATCACACAAAGGTTGAACCTCCTATTATGAAAACATAAATGCAATCCCATTGTGTATTGGAAGTAATTCTAACAGGCATACACAACCCTACGGGGGGAAAAAATAAAATAATGCCTCAAAACCCTGGTAGAGGCTCTCCTCTGTAGTATGTCAGGCAGTTATAGACACCAGTGTTCATAAAAGGCAAATTTTATGGCTGTATGGAGCCAGACTGAAATTTTATCATGCAAGAGGACAGTCAAATAGCAGGATGTGTGTTGGATTAAGTACTTTTGCATCTCTGGGGAAATTATTGACTCAGCCAGAGACCTCTGGGGATCCTGCAGAGCTCTGCGTGGATTGCTTGCTTGGTTCAGCACAGCTGGAGGGCTCCCACGTGAGTCTCATAAGCCTGAGCTGATCCTGCGCACAAAACTGGGAGTGTTGGTCCTATGTCCCCTGGCACTTGTGCAAAGACATTGCTGAGGCTCTAGAGGTGAATTATTGCACAGCCAAGCAGTGTCTGGCAAAGGCTGTGGATTGGAGCTCAAAGCCGCACAAAAGCAGCTCCAGCTGTTCCCAGACAAGAGCTGACCCTTGGAGCCACAGCAATACTGCGTGACACTGCCTTCTGCAGCAGCTCTGAGCCTGAGCTCTTCAGTTACACAGCACCTGGGTGTGCTGACTGCAGGTCTGGAGCTGTGCTCTTAGGTGGATGTGACCCATATTTGAAAGGACTGGTAGGACAGCAGAAGCCAGAGATTCATTTTTGAATGCAGAGGCTTTTACAAGTTTCCCCTCCTGCTCCCCTGCCCTCAAAATGCTTCTGTGCAGTGGATGTTGGAGTCTGAACATCTCTTCATCAGGAGCAGAGAATTTTTTCTTTCATACCTGCTGTTTGCATGCTACTAGACACAGAATTGACAAGGATTTTTGGTTTTTTTTTTTTCACCTCCAAGTTCTTTAAAATTTCTTTCTTTCCTCCTAATACCCACTTATCCATATTTCTGTTATGAGATAGATAGGAAAGAATCTTTAGTTCCAAAAAGTGAAGGAAAAAGAAAAATACATACTGCTTTGTATGTATTTATGTCTGGAAACTGAGAAAGCAGAAAATAAGCAGATTGTCTGACGCTCTTGTATATGCACTTGAGCCAGTGTGATAAGAAAGAGTTAAATTCCTGGTTTTCTTAACTTGCATTTACAAAAATTTGGCCTTAGGCAATTAGTTTCTCTTGAAGAATGGTTTTGTTGATATGCTGCCATCCTCTCTAGTATTTCAAAAGATTTTTACATTAATATTATATCTGCCCTACAGGTTATTCTGAAGAAAGGAAATTTACAGCCTTGGACAAAACCTTTCAATGGGTTGTCTGCCTGCTTTTCTTATCTCCCCCTCTTTCCCCCCTTCTGTGGGGAGAGGCTTAATCAAGTCATACCCATTTTGTGTCTCTCTAACAAGTGTGTTAAATATGTATGTTCAAAGGTAATCTTGAATACACACAGCCAGCTAATAAGAGCCAAAAATGTTTGTTCTTTTATAGGGCAGTTCAGAGAGCTAGCTTGTATCTGACAGCCCTGCAGACAGGCTTTTCCCCAGACTTCAGAGACCAAAGACCTGACTAAATACCACTTGGAGTCCTTGTCTGTAGGGTCCAACAGGTGCAGCTACCTCCATCCATATGCATCTCCGTTGCAGCTTGTCTTGCCATTCTAAGCAGCAATGGGAAATTGAAAGCTGAATTTGTGGCATGATTTTGCACTGATTGTATGGAGCCAGAAGTGCCAAGCCTTGCTTTAAATTGATGATTTGACTTGCGAAATGAACGATCTTTCTTCAAACACAGTGTTGCCTGATGATGTTTAAGAGCACAAGCACCAGCCTTCAGTAGATAGACCGTTATTGATAAATTATTCTGTTTTGATCAGTATTGCTTTTTTTACAAAATATATACTGTAAAAATATTTTGGTGGAAAAAAAGGCATACTTGGAATAATTATCTAAACATTTGTGTCAAATGAGTGACAACACAGATGTTTTGCTGTTTTCAGCAATGTACTTGAGCAGTGTACATTCAAAATAACTATTGTTTTTAATTTAGCTACTGTGAAGTGATTTCCTTTGATATTTGATCTGAGGCAATTTTTCTTCTGTTGTCAATGGACAGACTCACAGGGGTCTTGTTCAAAGAATCTGTATTTGTTCTTGGAAAGAAGTGGGACAACTGTTTTTGATCTTCTTTGTATTGAGTCCTTTGATACTTAAATGCCTCTACTTTCATTGTATTAATATCCAAAGTAAAGAAAAACCAACCTTTATCCATGTGCTAATTTTACACTACTCCATCATTAGCAGTTTTTGTGCAGGAAGAATTTTCTGAGCCTGTTTTTTTTTTTTTTGGGTGTGTGTGTGCGCGCACTGGCTTTCAGTCATGTTTGGACTATAACAGGAAAATTCTCTTCTCTTGCCTCCAAGGCAGAGCAAACATACATACTAACAGGATTAAGAGAGATTCAAGACTCAAGTAAAATCAGTTATGGTCTCAGAAGGTTGTTTTCAGCACACTAGAAGTAGAAAATGAGTCGCATCAATTGTATCTTGTAAAGCTAAGAACTCAGTATATTTGATAAATTGGGATTTGCTTCCTCAGACAGTTGACTTAAAAAAGAAAAGAAAAAAAACCTTTTTTAGAACTGTAAAAACATCAGGAAATCAAACTGCTGTTTGATCAATCAACTGGTAAGAGCAAAAAAAAAAAAAAAAATCTTTCTGACAAATTAAGCCTTCAGTATTATGAAATCTTCAGAGTGAATATTGCATATGAGAGAAAATGTTGAGATGCATAGATTCATTGACCTAGTTAAGAGTTTTCAGTTAGAATGAAAGAAATACTTGGAGTGTATTTTTCTGTCCAAGACTGCTTTGCGTACTTAGTGAATTAAAACTTAGTAACAAATTTTTCCCTCTCATTTTATTCTGACTCTAAGATAGAACTGAGTTGTTTCTTATCAGATAGATCATGTCTCTGTAATCTAAATGGTATGGATATTTCAGATTCAGAGAGGACAAGGACACTGGCTTTGAGGTTGGTGAATATGTTTCTGATGTGGCTCACAACTGTTTATTTCTCAGTCCTTACATCTTCTTTCTCTTAGATCTCCAGGTTTGGAGTGAGCTATTAAAATATAATTCAGTGGGAATAAATCTCAGTTTCTCATAATTTTGATTTTTAGATGTTTTAGATGCAAAACACAGATTTCACATTCATGCAATCTGGATAATAAATAATCTTGCAACTTAATTCAGGAAATATTGGTAAGCATTACCAGGGCATTTATAGAAAGTTTCTCTCATATTTGTTTTTTGAAAGTAATATAAAAGCAATTGTCTTGAGATTTTTACTTTTAAAACTTGATATTAGTCACATCAAATGTGATTGGAGGGTTCTTCAGATTGTATTACAATTCCATAGCTATTCTACTTCAGTCTTAATCAGCCATCTACACTTGGGGAACTCTTGAGTTCTCTCTGCTATGGTTTTCAAATTTTACTTTAAAAAAAAAAAAAAAAAAAAAAAAGTTTCTTAACAAAGTATTATATAATTTTAGGTTTGTGAAATTAACATTAACAGTGGATACTAATGGCTAAAGAAGTGATTGAAGGAAGTGTGATTTTTATAAAGCATTTAATTGCTACAAAGGTTGTGAAATACTTGAGTCCCTCTTAATCAGTATATTTTGAAATGCAATTCCTGTGTCAGTAGAGTTGGAGGTGTTAGCAGTTATTCTTGTGGGTTTGAGGCCAGATTTAATTGTTACAGTGTTGTTTTTGCTGCACGCGTGGAGTGTAAAGGCCACAATAAGTCTTTGAAAGTTTTATTTGTGGGATTTTTTTAAAGTTTTTTTTTAAAGTTAGAAAGTCGCTATTTTATTAATGTAGAAGGAAAACCCTTGTAGGACCTAATCTCATTTACTAGTAGGCAGTCTGGAGGGGGTGCTGGGCCTGCAAGCAGCTCATGGAACTGCAAGGACAAATGCCAAGTCCTTCTCATGGAAAGGAAGAGCTACAGCAGGGATGCAGGCTGGGGATGGAGGGGCTGGGGGAGCAGTTCTGCAGAAAAGGCCCTGGAGATGTGAGAAGGCATCCAGTGGGGCTGTGCCTTCTCTGCTCTGAGAGATCCAGCTTTGAGCCAGAAGAGAGACTTAACGACCTCCTGAGGTCTGCTTCAGCCTGAAGGATCATATCCTTCAGCGATTCCATGACTATTTATTAAATTTCATATTTAAATTTAGATTTAACATTTATCTTAGCTCTTTAACTTGCATGTCTAAAATGCTACATGCTGTCTGTTCAGAAAGTTATATAAATTCAACTAGCACTTACTGTGCCTGTGTTGTGTGTGTGTTGTTGCAGGCCTTTACCAAGCTCACTTCTCAAAAATAGTTGTATCACAATCGTTTTTGCATCCCTGTGCTTACTACTAGCTTTATTTGTGCTTTCTTGTGTAAACTTGCCACGTGATTAATATGATTTTTTTTGTTTGTTTCAACAGAGGGAGAATATATCAAGATGTTCATGCGGGGTCGACCAATCACAATGTTCATTCCTTCTGATGTAGAAAACTATGATGATATTAGGACTGAGCTGCCTCCTGAAAAATTAAAACTGGAGTGGGTGTATCCTTGATATCAGTAGCTATTTCTTGGTGGCTTGTTTGTTTTTCTTGTCTTGACTCGTCTTTCTTCTTCATTATCTAGGCTTTTCTTCAAGGGAGGGAGATATTTAAAAACAAACAAACAAAAAACAATAGCAAAACAGTTAAAGCAGTTTGTCAGTACTTTATAATACACTTTTAAGCTGCAGAAACAGAAAACCTTTACTTTTTTTTACTGTTGAAACCAAGTGCAGTTTATTTTTAGGAAGAATATTGCCTTTGGAGAGCTACTGAGTTTCAAAATTCCTCCCCTATATTCTCTATAAGATAGACTGTATTCAGAAACATAGTAATTTTTTATTTTTATCCAGGATGCAACGAGATTTTAAATCAACAGAAGCTCTTGAATAAGATCCAAGATTTCTCATAGCTCCTATCAATGGGAAACGATTGCAGTAGCCATCTGCCCAAAGTTTTTTGCACTAATTTTGTTTCAAATCTGACTTGAAGGGATTCATTTCTTGGGGAGAGTGGTGTACTTTATGTAAATATTTTTTTCTGAAGAGGTGAGTAGCTATGTGGTTGACAACAATTCTTCAGGTTTAGTAAATCTGGAGCTCATAACAAATGCTTGTGCACACATTTGGGTCATCTTTCATGTCTTCCCATCTCTACAGAATCTTCTAGTAAGTTCTGACTGTATAATTAAGATTTTAGTCCTTCTGTAAAAGAACATGTCTAGACAGCACTTGAGTTGATGTAGTAATCTGAAGCTTGATCCTTCTGATCTTGCTGAAAGCAATAAGATTTTTAGAAATATTGATGATGCACTGTCATATGTCAGGAGATATGTACAGAGATGAGCTCTCTCAGCATATCCCATAGCAACTAAGGCATGCATGTTTTTTAAACTATCCTTTCTTAGTCATTTTAGGAAAGATGATTTCCCTATTATTTTCCTGCTTTTATTGGGGGAAGCTAATGATACTGGATACTCAGTTATGAAGAGCAACTGTGGAGCTAGAGTCCATTCAACTTTGCAGAAAGATTGTAAAAGCTTAGAACATAAAGGAGGAATTTTGGTTTACTAGTCTGATTGGAAAGAAAACTGAGCTCTTACTTAGTCTTTGCGAAGCTGTGGTGCCCTGCCTTTCCCAGTGTCACTGCTCCTTGGTGCTGATGCTGGCACTTATATGACCGTGGAATGAATTGAGTCAGTTGTTGATCTGGCTGAAACGCAATCGTTTTTGTGGAGTTAACTTTCAGACACATCAACTCATTAATTTGATTTGTCCCATAAACACACAAGGAGCACAACCAGCACACTGGAGGAAGGTCTGACATACTTTTTCAGCAGCAGCAAGAAGTTTGGACCGATGAAAGCTGATCGTGAAATCATACCATCAACTAAGTATGTGCAAATCCCAGTGTGGAAATGCTTATTCGGTGTCCAAGGACCTCAATTTCAGGTTAAACCAGTTTCCTGCTGAGGGCTAATTAAAGTGAAATATATCTTGTGTAAACAAACTGCCCACATGATTTTGGAATCTGTTTGAGGAAACAGATGGTCCTAAGTGAGACTGGTATGTTTCTGTTTGTAGAATATCTTTTAGATATGATGCTGAAGAAAACAATGAGGAGAAAGCTGTGAAGTTTTTGAGGCAATAATGTTGATTTGTATGACATTGAACAAAATTGGCATTCGGTTCTTGAGACACAAAGTTATAGCAACAGATCTTGTAGTTGTGCAAAGGCTGAGAAATCTTCAAGCCAGCCATAAAATCCAAATATAATTACAGACTGAAGCTTGTGAATTTTATGAACAAGACATGGGACAGTGATTCACAGGGTATTTTAGTGATGTCAGTTTTTTGCAACTGAAACATTTGATTTGCAATCAAATGTTCAATAGTTCAACCTGTATGCCTTGTTTTGAACATCTTTTATTTCTCCAGCAGTTACCTTCTGGATGATTGTTTATAATCAGGCTTTCCTTTGATATTATCTTTCTGTAGCATGCCATTTACAGGCTAAATTATGAACTATGAGAATAAACATCTTCCAGGCAAGAAGAGAGGGAAAAAGTTTTGAGGTAGGGTAGGGTTCTTGGTGTTTGCTTGTTGCTGTTTTGGGGAGGAGAAATATTTTCAACAACTGATTCCCAGAACTATAGGTTCAACAGAAAACACCCTGCTGTTCTCTGCCCTGCCCTGTCAGTTGGAAAAGAACTAAGTGACTTGGCAGGATGAAGTAGCTCATGGGGAAATCTGAGCTCTTAACTGTGCCTGCTTCTTGAGTGATTTCATTTAAGTTTAGTTTGGACACCCCTGCTTTATGATGCAGTCTTGCTTCAATTCAAAACTGTTTAAGGAATATCTGGCATTCCTAATAATAGGAGAATGGGCTGCTATAGTAGCTGCTGAGATCACCATCAGTGTTACTAATGAGTGGCAGTGACTTTTCAACTTCCTTCTCTCAGTGTAAAGTTACTCAGTTCCTGGAGGGAATTTCTGACTCCTTTTTATAAGCTTATTTTTAGCACTGGTGCTCTTCTTTCTAAGAATAATTCAAGTCAGCGGTAACAATGCTACTAAATTCTGTTGTTCAGTGAGATCACTTCATGGGGCCATGACTATTCTTATCCACTTCAAAACAAACAAACAAAAAACTGTGAAAGCTATGAAGTATGTCATTTTTCATGGCAAAACAGTTCTTGTAATTGGTGAGAAGCCTTCACGATATTAAGACAGTTACCTCTGAATGTCCCTGGTTGGAACATCAGCCTCACTGAAAGATAAACATTGAAATTTAGTGTAAATTAAGCATAAAATTTGTGGCTTTTTTTGCTGTTTTTTTTGTTGTTGTTGTTTTGTTTTGTTTTGTTTATGTAGAGAAAGAGCAACTATTATATTAATGCATCTCTGCTACTTTGTTCTGAGAGTTTGATGATGGGAAGGTGTTCTGTGAAGCAGCAACACATCTTGTTTTGAAGAAAGTAAAAATTTCTCTCACAAAGCAGGTTATGGCTTTGGATGCCCTTAAAAATGCTGCCATTGTTTGGTGCTGTAATTTGTACAAGGAATGAAAGGAAGGAATGGGCTGAGAAAACAACTTTTTTATTTTTGCAGCTTGGTGAATGCTGAAGCTCAGTGGTGGATGCCAAAATATTTAGCCATAGCTTTGCATGTTAAACTGCAACAAAAGGATGAATGTTCAAAGATGTCAGTCTCAGTAAATCCTTACCATTACAGTCCCTGCTATATTCAGAAGATGACCACGATCTGCCTTTCTCCTTTGAGATGGCATTTAGACTAGTGTTCTCTGTGTTTCTGTATAGAAATAATATTTTCATTGGTATATAGCCCATCATTTCTGAAAGTTCACTTTGTTTTGTTTTGCTTTTGTAAAGGGCCATTCTAGAGTTTCTTTTGTTCCACTGATGTTTAAAAGTGGAAAAATTGGTGAGAAGTTAAATGGTGATAAAGAAGAATCAGAAGCATCCTTTCTTCTCATCTCAGCGTTGTGTTCCATCAGTATTTCTCTTGATATCATTTGTTAAAGAAAACAGTGAATAATTTCATCTTCAGAATCACTGTGTTATTCTACAATATAGGAATCTGTTTCCCTTTCCTTGATCTTAAGGCACTTAATTGAAAACTGAATGCATTATCCCTCTTCAAACCATGGTTGAGTTACAGTAGTTAATGATTTTGTTTAATTTTGCAAGTGTTCTAGTGGCATAGTATTACTGTAGTTTAATGAGACTACATAAGAGGAAATAACTTTATTTGCTGGTAGCATGCAGCGTGTTTTTTTTGGGGGGAGTGGTATTTTTGGTAGAAAGATAGCCCTTGTCCAAGAAGAACAGAGGCCAGGCTGTCAAGTCAGGAGATACTAATTTAGATGCTCCAAAATTTGGCCTACTATGCCTGTTTTTAATAAGAGAGCTAGCTTGACCCATTCAAATTTCTCCATGTTGGTCTTTGACTTTGTCCTTTCTTTCTGATTATCCAAGAGCTTGGAATCCTTCAGCTACAGTTGCATGTTTTTTCTTTGTTGTTGCAGATGTGGTTGGTGCTGAATTGGGAACCTCTGTCTTGTGTGTTGTGCAGGACATAACAGGAAAGTTTGTTGGTTTTTTTTTTGTTGTTTGTTTTTTATAATTAAAATCTCAGAGCTACTACTGCAGTCTGAGTGATGATTTTAATAGTACTTAGTGACTGTGGGAACTGAAACACAGGCAGAACACCACATTAATAGTCTAAATGGAGAAAGTTGCACCAGTTTCAAAGTAATAACAAGTTATAGTAAAATTTGATCAGGGTGACCTGGATTGTGGTGCCTAAAAACTCTGAATGTTGTAGGGGCAGGGAAGTAATGCAGGCTTTTTAAAAAAATCATCCCTTTTTTATATATTGGGTTGTTTAGGGTAGACTATTATTTTTACTGTCAGTTCCTTTTAAGATTTATTTGCTTTAAAAATATTCTAAAGCATTCTAAAACACTATTTCCTGAACTTGGCAGCTGCTGTGCCAAAGTTTGCATTTTTCTGAAGGAATTTTCACATGGTTGTTTTGAAAAGCCAAACAGAGCCAATATACTGGTCCCCAGCATGGAGGTGCCCAACTCTGCTACTGTTACAGATGTTAAGCTTGGATAGTGATGTCCTGCTGCTACCTAATGAAAATTGAGAATTTCTGTGACGTAGTTACATTTGTTTTACCCCAGTGCCTTACATTTTCTCATCAACTTTTTAAGTGTTTTGCTTTTCTGAAGTCTTGATTCTTTTTAATATGTTTTTAACTGTTACTAAAATTGTCCTGTAGTTTCAGAAGAAAACAAAAATGGCACTGTGTGACATGAGAGATCCCCAGAAACATCCTTTCTACGGCTGTTGCTTTTTATTTTTGTGTGTGATATACAGTGATTATAAAACCTTGACTTAAAAAATATACATATAGATATGGGTATCGTGGAAGAGATTGTAGAGCCAATGTTTACCTCCTTCCTACCGGAGAAATTGTATATTTCATAGCATCAGTTGTGGTACTATTTAATTATGAAGAGAGAACTCAACGACACTACCTGGGTCATACGGACTGCGTTAAATGGTTAGTATAAAACATTTGTGTGTATGTGTGTCATAATTCAGTAAGGCGTCATTTTAATTCTTTTACTATATCTGTGATCTCATTAATATCATCACAATTGTAGTTATTCTTTTGTTTCATCTGTCCCAGTAGATTTCACTGTAGTAAACACCATACAAATGAACAGAGCTAAAGCACTTCACACTAGTTTAGTGTTTCTGGCTTAAATTTAAAACCAGATATGTAAACACTCTAGAAGTGCCAGATTAGAGATGGAGTATCTGCATAAATTGTTCTAAATACATACACCAATAATTAAAAACTGACATCAACCAAATTTTTAGATCAAGCAGCTAAAGGCAATATGGCAATATGTAGACTTAAGGAGAATTAGAAAATCAAATGGAAGACAGATGATAATTTTCTCATTTTTGAATAGGTGTCCCATCTAAACATTTAGACCGTCTGAGGTAAGAGAAAGACACTTGCAAACAAAACATAAAAGCAGGAAAATTGAAGCCAATGTTGTTGTTGAGGCAAATGTAGTTGGTCACTTCACAACGTTAGTCTGAAAAATAGTAGAGAGCTTTGGTTTGAATGGTATATCCTTACCATACCTGAGTGGAAGAAAGGAGTTGCTGTCTAAACCTCTTTTCTCCTAGCCTGCTTTCATAACTGTAATTGCTTCCTGTGGGAAGAATGCCGTCAGTCTTGTGTTCTTTACATTCTTTCAAATGAAATTTAAAATGAATTTTAAACATTTTGATGTCTAACGTCCTGACTTATTAATTCCTTCATCTGCTGTTCCATCTTGCCTGTTGTCTTAGTCTCCTCACCTTGTAATTTTACAGAGGAAACAAATGACAAGGCTAGTCAAAAAATAAGTAGGAGTAAGAGAATGTGGACTTGGAAATTATAGTATCTGTTTGGTATTTTTTACATTACCTTCAAAGCAAAAGCAGATTTTGACTTACACTAAGAGTGCACCACATGGGAGATTTTCATTAGTGACAGTAGCCTTAACTCCTGGGTGCATGTACCCTTGACCATCCTCCTAGCTATTTTTCCATGGATTTGTGCTATCCAAAGCTTTGGGCATGTAAAGTATGCTGTAGTGCTTATAAAAATGGCAAGTAACTATATCTAGGAAGTTCAACATGAGACAGTGTGTATTTTGTTACTCCCAGTATAGTGCAAACCTGAGATTTATTTCTCTGAGCAGATGTGGAGGTGACTCTTGTGGCACTCCTGGTTGTGTGCCAGCAGCCATTACAAAAGCCTGATTAATAGAGAATTTTGCAGTATTATATGTGACAAAATAGTCTGACAAAGAAAATTTTCAAGCTGTCTCATTAAAAGTGGGATCTAGGATCACGAATGACTTCATGGGCTTCTGTTGAAAAATAAAAATTAAAAAAAGAGAAAGAAAAAAACCTCTCAGTTCTGAAGGCTGATGACAGCAAAAGCAAGTCATATTTCTGTCTGTCTTAGTCTTGCAGTTCATCCAGACAAAATTAGAATTGCAACAGGACAGTTAGCTGGAGTGGATAAAGATGGAAGGGTAAGTAATAGAGCTGTCGAGCAGTAGTGTCTTGTTTTGAAAATCAGGGAAAATTGTTTTGTTTTTCTTTTTAATCTCATAATCACCTTCTGTTTGCAGTTTTTCTTACACACTGCATTTAGTGAGATATTTTCCTGTTTCCAAGGTTCACAGTATATATTTCTAGCAATAGGTATTACCACATAAGCACTCAGCTATACATTAAAAAGAGTAGAGGCTCATAGTCTTCAATCAGTGACATGGAAAATTCATATTTAATCCTGCAAGCAACTGTGAGCCTTATAATTGATTTGTAAGGTTACATTGCTTGTTACATCTCTTTCAATAACTCTTCTCCCAGAGGAAAATAAACCCCCGGTTCGGTGGGTCCATGTGCTCATAAGGCTTCATGGGAAGGGAAACCAACTTTGGGAATCTGTTGAAGGTGCGTCAAGCTTTCCTAGAAAGCTTGCTCAGTTAAGGACAAGTATAGTTAAAAGTTCTTGTCCTTGGTGAGCTCTCATAAGTTGAATAATGAGATTATCTTCACAAAGTTATAGATGCCTTGCAATGTGGAAACACTTTAAGTACATCCCTTACTCAAATGTTTCTTTCTTTTTTTTTTTTTTTTTTTGAGAAATCACTGTGGGCATTGTGTAGATATTGTTATAATTTCCACTGAACTTTTGCTTAACTATGATTTTATTATTATTATTATTATTTTAATGGTGAATGTTGTCCCTAAGGCAATCTAATTCCTACTTAATTTGTAAATGTTTTGCATTTATGAAGCTAAACTGTTTTGGGATAGTAGTTGGATGAAATATACCTTTGGAGGTTTTCCTTCAGTGATTGGTTATAATTAAGTGACTCAGTGCAAGTAGGGTTGTCTTTTTTAATGTTATTTTCTGCATACTTTTATGGTTTAAAAATATGTTATAAAAAACATGTTTTCAGTTGTTGTGCAAGGTGTTTGAGTCTGGGGTTTGAAATTCAAGATTGCTCTTCCATTATTTTTTTGTTCAATGGTTTAAACTGCACAGATTTATTTTCACAAGTACCAAATGCCCACGTGATATTTGTAGCTCCCATGCAGTGGGCAGAAACTGTCTCGACTCTTGCCTCTTGAGGTTCAAGACACAGTCCAACAGCAGCATCGACACAACTCATCTGCATTTCACCCCAGTTTGCTGCTTGGGTAGCATGACATAACCTGATGGCTGCAATCGATGCTTTTGCTGTCGATGACACTGTTTGTCCCATTGCTTTTGCGCAGCCCTTGCAGCCCCATGTTAGAGTGTGGGACTCAGTGAGCCTGGTGACACTGCAGGTTATCGGCCTGGGGACTTTCGAGCGTGGAGTTGGGTGCTTGGATTTTTCAAAAGCGGTAAGACGGATGCTGCTATTGGGGTATAACTGATTTGTCTGACCCTTCTGAATGTGGTTGCCTTGCTGACCTGCTTTGGTATTAAAAGCATGTTAGTAAAGTCTCAGTGTACTCTATAAAAACAGCTGACGAGAGGTGGAAAAAAACAGGAAATTGCAGTTGTAAAGTTGTGGCAACAAACAAGCTCTGTGAATAAATAGGAGACACAGAAATACCTTGGCTGGAAATGGAAATCTGTACTGGGCTTGGTGGTTTGGGTTTGGTTGGGGTGGGACAAGATGGAGCTTTTATTTGTTTGGATGTTAAAAACAAGCATGTTACTGAGCTTCACGGACATGTTTTAGTGGGCTTTGATGGAAAGGATAGCTTGGCTGCTTGCACTACTGTAAAAATAGGATTTTATCCATGAACAGGAAATTAAAAAAAATAAATCAATTTATGCTTCATAATTTTACATAGAATAAGAAATACAAATCTTATAAGTGTTGTCACTGTGCCCACAAAATTTATCAGAATAGTAAGAAATGAAAATGTGTTGTGTTGTTAGTCACTGATAAAATTCTCATTTCTGATTTGCTGCTGAGGTTTCTTTTGTGTACCATACATGTGTATTTTAATCTGTAAGCTGCCTTCGTGTTTTTGCCAAATCACTAGGATGTATCAGACCTCCTGAAAATCCACGCTGTTATTCTTGCAACAGCAGAGAATTGTTGTTTAAAAACAAAACAAAACAAACAAACAAACAAAAGACAAAGGAAAAAAAAAAACACCAAAAAACCCAAACCCAGCTGTATTTTGCTTACACAGAATCACAGAACAGTTTAGGTGGGAAGAGACCTCTGGTGATCGCCTCATCCAGGCTGGGCTGTGTAGGACTGTATAGGACCAGTTGAGTTTTGAGCATCTTTAGACACAACCTGTTGAAAAATAAATGCTTATGATCTCTTGCTGTTATTTCATCAAACATCAAAACATTGCTCAGTTAGTTATGTCTAGGCTTTGTCTGTTAGGAAAAAAAACAAAAAACAAAAAAAACCAGCCTATTTTATAAGTAAGGTATAACATAAAATTATGTAAGAAGAAAACTGTAATTTGTAATTTCTATCACTGTAACAAACCAGGAACCTTTTAACTTTAAGGCAAATAAATGTATGTGCCACCATTCAATTAAAAGAAGAAGAAAAATAAAAATAAAAACCCAACAATCTAAGGAATGTGGAATGTTAGCTTTTATTAGACTGAAAAAGTGAATGTGAAGTATCTAGAGCTGCGCTTTTATCGCGTAATCCCCCTAACCCACACAAAAGCAGTCCATGTTGCCAGTGCTCTCTCAAGGGTTTTTTCCACTTAATTGGAATGCGTTAGCATAGTAGTGCTCATCATAGCATTAGTATTGGGAATAAAAATTTCAGCCACCTCTGTTTTATAATTTGTTAGAGAACGCGGTCTGAACTGCACTAATCAACTTTAAAATAAGCAAGGCGTCTTCCAAATCTTTCTACACATGTACTTGAAGCAGCTGGTTTGTGCAAGTATGAGCCATTTCAGTTATTTAATGCTGGAGATGCGATATCTTAATGCTCTGTGAGGAAAAAGAAGAGGTGCTATCTGAATGTTAATACTGCAGAGTTGTGTGTGTGATGGTCACCGTTAAGAAAGAAAACCACACTGGGACTGGGTGTTCTGACACTTGAGGAAAAACAATATATTTGCAGGATAGAAAAAGGGAGAAACATTTATGCTGCTAGCATGATAATTATATATATTTATTTAGAAAAAAAAAAAAAAAAAGAACTGGGAGGAAAAGATTTGGCAAGATACTCTAAAGCTTTCCTAGAATATATTTTGAAACATGATGATTTGTTGTGAGATTACGGAAAAATATTTCTTACCTGTAAGCAAAAAGGAGATACCAGATATACCGATCATGTAATTCCTTACAGAGGACTTGCTTGATTTATATTTCTACCTCTGTGTTTTTTAAAAGTTACTGCTATGCCTTGCTTCTGAACATGGTTTGATAATTCTTGGCCTTTTTCTTTTAGGATTCTGGTACTCATTTGTGTGTAATTGATGACTCTAATGAACATATGCTCACTGTATGGGATTGGCAGAAAAAATCAAAAGTAGCAGAAATAAAGGTAAATATAACACAGATGCCTATTCTAAAGTACAAATGCTTTTATTCTCAAAAATATCATAATTTTGTGAGACACAAATTTGATCTTACTTGGAAACAATTGTATAATACTGCTGGGTTTTATAAGGGCACAAAAGAAATGTGTTCTTAACTTGTACGTTGGAAGAGTTTTGAATATTGGAACACATAATTAAATTTTACTCTTATCCAAGGGCTAATCTAAATAAAGCAATCCTCGAGTCTTTTCTTAATTAAAAAGTAATAATAATCTTGGGAACTTTGAAGGACCCAAAGTGATGATTCAGTCTATAATTCTTTATATTAAAATATATATACATTTAGATGTCCTTTATTTTCATTTTTCTCTGAATTAGGTTCCAGACATAGATTTTTTTGGGTAGATAAACTTCTGTAGATTGCAATTTGTTCTGCTTTCCTGATTCCCTTGTGAGCTGCTGAATTTCTGGTTGATGAGAAGTATTGGTGTAAAGCTGATTCCACTGACAATACCCAATCCAATAACAACTTGCTGCTGAATTCCCTGTTTTGAGACATCTTGCTTGCAACAAGCAAACAGATAAATATAGATGTGGAACTGAGTTTTGTTGTTTGTTTTTTTTTTTTAATTTATTTTAGTCATGAGTCAATGTGTGAAATACTCTATAAGCAAATATTTCTACATAATTACAAACCTACAATTTCAAATAATCAGGGCTTGGGGACCCATTTTCCCTAAATCACGTGTACCGATAGTAACTACGCACTGTTCTGTAAGTGTTAATGTAATTAAATGTCAGCTTTTGTTTTTATTTTAATTCCTTGCAGATATTTAATATCAAGCTATTTGGCACATTCTGTAGATTTCCTTTCCCATTCTATTGATATTGCATTTTGAATACTTTTATTCTTCAGTCTTTGGTGCTTCAGAACTGGCTAGCAAACAAATCAGCCGTGACAGCTTCAGTTATTCATGTTTAGGACTTTATCTTAGAGTATCTTGAGCACCTCATCAGCAGCTGGGTTCAGTGTGAACATAGAGTTCCCTCCCTTGAGCTAAATGCATTCATAAACAACAAATTAAATGTAAGAAGATGGTTCTCCTCAAGTGAGCCAAAAATACTGGATTGGGATAAGGCCAAGCTACAGTACTTCCCCAGGTGCTGATTCAGCACCACTTAAGTATACTCTTTTAAAGCATTTGCTTAAATACCACAGAAGAAAAAGGGCATGAATGAATTTATATGTTATGCAGAATAATTGCCTCCTGAAAATTACCTCAAATTAAGGTTTGTTGAGTTTACTTTAGAAGTCAGAAAAACGACCGGTCAGTTTGTTTGTAAAATTCATCGGTAAGGGATATAATATTCACCGAGGAGTTAATAATTCAGTAGAAGTATATGGGCCAGTAAAAATACAAAGGTTGTACAGTGTGTTTCAGAGTTTTGAGTTGAGCAGGCTTGTTTTTGACTCTTCTTTATGGAGAAAAAAGAATGCAAAGGAATTTTTGTAGAATTTCAGAAAGAGAATAATGTACGTAATCCTGGTATGCTACAGTTACCTGAGTTACTTCTATCACAGTTTTGTTACTCAGAAAAGTCTGTGTAGAAACTAAACAGTGTTCAATCCAAAACCATATTTTTGTATTTCACTCACTTCCCGTGGCAAAATTCTTAGCTATGCTAAAAAGCAAAGTTCTTGTGATTTGGAAAGTAAATATAAAGCACGGACTTTTTTTCTGAGATTTGATTTAAAAAAAAAAAAAAAAAAAAAAAAAAAACAAGCCAAAAAACAAGTATGAATAGATGATACAAAAAGGATTTGTGCAGTCATTGAACCAGCCAATTTATGAGGGAATTTACAGATTCTTTCGTGTATAGAACAACCTGTGTAGCTCCTCCTATCTTTGTTCTGAAACCTGGGATTCTACATGAGTTTCTAGTAAAGGTAGATTAGAACATCTGAATAAATATTATTTGTTTTATTTCAGACTACAAATGAAGTTGTGCTTGCTGTAGAATTCCATCCAACTGATGCAAATACCATAATAACATGTGGCAAATCTCATATATTTTTTTGGACTTGGAGTGGCAATTCATTATCAAGGAAGCAAGGGATATTTGGGGTAAGAATGTCTTGATATCAGGTCAGTTTAAAATCAGTAGAATCATCTGCTCATGCTATCTTCAAATTTGTTTTGTTGTCACCTCATATAGTTTGAGCAGAGTGGTAAACAAACAACAAAAAGGTTAAATTCTATTTATGTATATGCAGGATTGTATGGGTGTGGATACATTATTCTAAGTATGTAGAGTACAAGCAATTATCCCTTTCTCTTGCTTATTTTGTTTCAGAAATATGAAAAGCCCAAATTTGTTCAGTGTTTGGCTTTTTTGGGAAATGGTGATGTGCTCACTGGAGACTCAGGTGGGATAATACTTATATGGGGCAAAACTACTGTAGAATCTACTCCAGGAAAAGGACCTAAAGGTAGGATACGTTCACAGTTAATCACAGATTAGACAGTCTGTAGAAGACAAATATAAAGAATTGAATTAGAAACAAAATAGGAAGAAAAACCTGGCTATTAGTAACAAGTGATGCTGAACTCCACGTCTCATGAATTTGATGACTTAATAACAATCTGAAGTTTCTCTGTGCCCAAACTGAATGAAAACTAAACTTTATCTAAATGTTTTGCATTTTACAACTGTGCAGTTAATCATATTTCCTTTCATCTTGTGGTCTGAATGAGGCTATGGATTCGGTTTGAGGATTCTGCAGGCTGCATTTGTTTCCTAAGGCTTATGTTATACCATGCTTAGTCTCAGGGGATACTGTTAAGAGGACTTGTGTATGAAGGGAAAATGTAATCCAGATTTATAGCAGTTATGCAAATAGGAGTGTCTGGTTAAGACAGCACTCAAGTCTTGGCTGTAAAGGATAGTTTTAAACCCATTTTATTTGAAACATGGGTTAAAGTTACTCTTCAAGACAAAAGTTCTGTAGAAAAGAAAGAAAAATTATTTGCTATCCAACATATGCAGACCTGGAACAGTTGAGCCCTAAGGTAACTTATAAATTCAAGGATAATTCATTTTACTTGGCAGCTATTTCAAACACTCTGGTTTAAATTAGTATGCCAGGAAAACATTCGTGTAAAAAGCAAATATTTAAAAGGTAAGTCTGCTTTTGTAGGTAGATCTTTTCTTGTCTTTCAAGCAAACTGCAATGAAAAAGTAATTTAACAAGTTATCTGATGTTTAATTTTGAGGTTCATATTGTGCAAAATAACCTTTTCCATATATAATCTGAAAAATTATCAAATACAACATTTATTTACACCAGTTTAATTGAATATGAGATCTTTTAGTTAGTTCATCACATCAAGTTGGTAACCAGGCTTGATCTCAAATGCATTTTCACAGTGTAGGAGCATGCTGACTTGAACGGACTGCAGCTGCAGCCAGAGTCAGCTGAATTATGTTGGCATTTATGTGGGTGATGTTTCAGGGTTTTTCTGTGTTTAACTACTTGCATATATGCAAATCTTCAAAGCCCTAAAATCTTCTTTTATTATGATATACTTTCCTACAGCAGTTCTTTTCAAATAAACACCCAATTAGAGTGCAAGAGGTTTCCTTTAATTCTGTTTTTCATCTAATTTTTCCATTCCTCTTGTTCCTTCTAGTGTTTTACTTTGAGTAGACTACTGTATTGATAGTTGCCAAATGCTAGTTTACTATTTTTAAGTAAGGCAACATCAAGCATCAGATATTAGGATCACACATCCTGGAAACTTTGCTATAAATAATTTGCTTTTTTTCCTCATTTTCATTCCCATAAGACTGTAGACAAGTCTTACAGTTTCTTTTAATAAAATAATTCTTTGCTAATAATTGCACTGCAAATATTTTTCAATATTTTGGGAATTTATCTTACATCTGGAAAAACTGTGTTGCCTAGGATAGCAAGAAATTTAGAGTATTTGGCAAATAATTGTGCTTGTCTTCACAAGTTTTAGGGTGGTTAAGCTCAAAACATTTCTCTTCATAAAGACACGCCTTTTATTTTATCTTTTTATCCTGTAAGAAAACACTACCACCTTGTGTTTGCAGTATGATGCAGTGCTAATAGCCTGATGATCCAAATGCAATTATTGATTGTGCACTGTTACTTTACTCTTAAGCCATAATGCAGTTTCCTGTAATCCTCAGTTGAGAAAACGAGTGGTGTTTTGTATTTTCTTTTTGTGCATGTAGGAGTATATCAGATAAGCAGACAAATCAAAGCTCATGATGGCAGCGTATTTACCCTCTGTCAAATGAGGAACGGGATGCTGCTAACAGGAGGTGGGAAAGACAGAAAGATCATTCTGTGGGATCATGACTTGAATCCCGAAAGGGAAATTGAGGTAAGAAGGCAAGAGTGACAAGGAAGTTGTATTAACAAGGTTTGATCAGCAATCCTGAGCCTTCCCCTATTCCTTAGAGTGTGTGTGGTTAGGATGACAGCTATCTTTTTAAGTGGAAGATAATGTTTTGTAATCAATTTTCAGCCTAGAAATTAGCCCACAAGAGCTATATCTTCAGGTCTTCCACTGTTTCTTTTGTTCATCCTATTTTTGAGTATTTGCTTTAGTATTGCCTGTGTTTTTCTAAAGTCTGCCTGTCTGGATAAAGGCAATGTTACCAGGATTTGAGTTCTTTGTTGAGCTTTTTACATAGGAGAAATAATCAGTAGGATAACTATGGATACTCTGCAGAAATTAGCTGTGTTGAGGAACTTCTCTTGACTTTATCTAAAAAACAGATATTTATTGAAAATGTCTGCCTGTGATTTGTCTGTATGGCAGTGATAAGAATAAACTGGAAAAAAATGTACATCATGGATTTAAAAATAGTGGGTTTTTTTCCTTACAATGGATGACCTCTTGAAGTAGTTTATTCTCAGTTTTTCTAGCAGTGATTTACTCAACATAACTAGTGTCTATTTATAGCAAGATTCTGATGGAACTACACATGAATGTTAAGGAAAAGAGTTTGTTACTATCCCAAGTCCACTATTGACCGTTAGAAAACATGTCTGAGTATAAGTAATTGTTGAGTTACCCTGTATAACCCTTAGACCTAAGCAGAGCACTATTCATATCAATCTTTGTTTTCTTTTTGTTAATATATTAAGGTAAAGCTTTTTTTTTTTTTGGACACCAGAACCCCATCACACAGCTTTCTGAACAACTGTAATTATTTTCTATCCCATGAGGCTAATATTAAAGTGAGTGTGCAAAGCCATTTAGGAAGAAAAAAACGCACAAAAAACAACCCACAAATGCCCACTGTAAAATAAAGCTGTGAGAGTTCAAGCTTGCAATAAACAAGCTCAGTAAAACATATGAGTCACTGCTGACATAAGACGTATGAATGTTTACGTAAGGTTAATCAGGAAGCGTTAAGAATCAGGAAACATTTACTTGGGCTACAAGATTCTTCTTAATCTCCACAATGCGTTTTTGAAAAGTAGACAGTGACTATAAATATTGTTCCCATCCTTATGAGTTGTAAGAATGTGGAGTGCATTTATTTGGTGCATCTGATGCTTAAAAATTGGTGCAACTTCCGTATTTTTTTTCTACCGAGACCTATTAAATTGGAATAATTCCAGTTGTTTTGGACTGAGGTCCTGTTCTATCTAATGAACAAACAAATGAGGTAAGTTTGAGGTCAAGTCTTTACCTAGTGCATATGTGATTAGATTTTACTAGGAGAATTGCTGTTCTGGTACTGTTGTGCACTATTTATGGCCTTCAAAAATAAGTGTGCGTTAAATTACGTGATGTGGCTTTACAAATGTTTCTCTTCCTAGGTTCCTGATCAGTATGGAACAATAAGAGCAGTAGCAGAAGGAAAAGCAGATCAATTTTTAGTGGGTACTTCACGAAATTTTGTTTTACGTGGAACATTTAATGATGGTTTCCTAGTAGAAGTACAGGTGAGCAAAATGATTTCTTGAACTATTACCCTAAAATTGTAAAAGTTTCCCTGATTGTGTGTTGATCTGAGACTTTTTATTTTATTCTTTATGTTCTTTCTAGGGACATACAGACGAACTCTGGGGACTGGCGTCACATCCTTTCAAAGACTTATTTTTAACTTGTGCTCAAGATAGGCAAGTTTGTATGTGGAACTCTGTGGACCACACACTGGAATGGACCAGGCTGCTAGATGTATGTCAACTCTTCAACATTAAATATAAATCTGGAAAAAAAACAAAAGGCATTCATTTTCTGAAAAATCTTGTTCCCATATGATTGAAAGAAGCAAAAGTCTTGTAACTGAGACACTGAAGAGCCATTCAGAAGCTTTTGATAAGCTTAACAAGGTTCTTCAGATGTTGTATATGCTGTAATCTGGTTAGTGTTGTCCAAAGCCATTCTATTGACCCAGATCAAAATGAAACTCCACGTACTTTCTGCTTGTTGCAGTTCAATTGGGAAGTTTTCTTCCCAATTTTTCAAACTATCTACAAAGGCTACAGTGCAGATGTGAAAGGTTTGGCTTTAGAAGTTCATCCTTACAGTCAATTGTTCATATCATATTTTGATTAATTCTGTCCTGTTATCTAGACAAAAGCATCTTTTTATGAAGAAGTTCAGCTTTTTACTTGTGAGAAGGTCATGTAGTGTATCAACGATCCATTAAAAGAAAGTCTGTCTGCCAAGCAGTTTCTCACTCTGTCAGTTCATCTTAGATTTTTAAGGCTTCTTTGGAGTGTAAAGCAGGTGGGCAAATGACATGTCTGTGCCTCCCTACTTAGGAACCAGGGCACTGTGCTGACTTCCATCCCAGCGGAGCGGTGGTTGCGATAGGAACGCACTCAGGACGGTAAGCAGGCATTGGTTGAGTTGTGATGATCAGAAGTTTAAAGGAGATTTACAAGAGTTGTAGTATCAAAACTTCAGAATATATATTTATTTTGGTTTTTATTCTTCTGCATGGAGTTAACTACTCTAAAGATGGGTGATGGGGCAGATCTTTGGTACAGGATGCAGATGAGAAAGAAGGATTATTTGACTGTTAGGCTGTTGTTTTTTCTTTTCTATTTTTTGAACTGCTTTTCCATGAAAGACCCAGCCCTTGTTTGGTTTTATTGTTTTGGTTGGTTTTTTTTTTAGTGTTGGGAGGGTTTCATGAGCTTTCTGACTTCATGAAGTACCATGTATGTTTTAATTGTGTGTGTAACATCAGTTGGTAAGATAAGACAGGTACAGTACAGATAATTTCTCCTTTCCAAATCAAACACACTTGCAACCTCTTAGATTGACCTGGAGTGTCAATCTAATACTTGCCTGAACTAGGAGTATTCTGTACTAGCCTGAACTAGGCTAGTATTCTGATTTTTTTTTTGTAAGACAAATGTTAGCATTGCACATTTCTGCAGTGAAGTGCTGTTGAGCTGTTCGTATTCATCCCAAAACCGTTGCTTATTTCAAAACTGTCAAAACACAGGCCAGAACCTTTAACTCAGGCATCTTTTTTGTGGTGGAAAAAAATTGTCTCAATTCATATCCAAATTCTCTCTGGCTCAGTATCATCTCCCTTGAAAGGAGTCCAGTGTGGTGGAGTTCTAGCAAGTATCAACCAAGAGAAAAAAACAGGATATTCATAGCATTAGAAAGGTTAGAGGAGCAGCTAGGAAATTTACTGACATTTTTGTTCTATTTCTTACTCATATGTTAGTAAAACAACACATGTAAGAAAATTATTTTTTGTTTAATCTGCCTCCTGTAATTTTTTTTTATACCTAACAACATGCCTAAAAACCATTCAAAATTTCGTTTTAAAAACTGCTGAGAATATGCAACAACCTTTAACTTTCCTGGGAAAATCTACATGTTAAATATTTTTTCAAGGTGATTCCTTACCCAAGTTGATGATACAATCTGCAGTAAATGCATTAGGTACAAAATCAGACTAGGAAATCTAGTGTACCTTCCTAAGAAAAAACTTAGTTCTTGTATGTTTGATTTCCATGTTGTGCCTTTCAATGTTTTCATCTCTTTCTAATTATAGCATTAAACTGATTAAGTGTTTCTACTTTAATTAAACAAAGCAGAAGGTATTGGAATAATAAAACTTGAGATAGGGAAAAAGAAAAAGCAAATCAAGCCATATATCTTGGTAGCTACCAGGCATTTTAGAAATTACATTAAAGCCCAATCAAGGCAGATTGAGCAGTCAGAGCATTCAGTCTGGTGTTTGCTCCTGGCTGCTTTTGTTCGTTTTTTTTTTTGTTCCCTGCAGCATTTAACATCACTTTTTTAATTCAGCACTTTTCAGTTTAAATTCATGTTATTTAAATTAGTTGAGACAACCCACTTAGACTGTATTGGGTAAGTTTATGTAGATGGCCTTGTTTTGGGGGGAGTTTTTGATCGGTTGGTTGTTGGTGTTTTCGTTTTTTGTTTTTTTTACTAAGTTCTAACAACTAAGTAAACAACTTTGTTTACTAAATTCTTACAACTAAGTAGTTACATTTTTGCCTTTCTATTTCTTTTGTTCTGAAATTTCATGATTAGGAATAGGTTAGAAACACAAATTAAACTGAATTGAAGTGGGGGCCTGGTAAATGTACAAGTGGATGAGAAATAGAGGGAGTTGTGAATCAAGATAAACAGAACCTCTTAAGATTTACAGACTAACCGTGGCATCACGCGGTGCTTTCTGTGCCAGATAATCCAGTCTAGGGGAGTCATTTCCCAGAGGAATGGGGTTGCGTGATAAATTTTGATTGCTGTAAAAGAGGAGAGTCAAGCCTGTAACAAGTCATTTAATAACTTACTCAATTTGCAACCCAAAAGGCATAAAGCAAATGTTAAATGAGTCTAATTTGTTTAGGATTCAATAAACCCAAACTTTGGTGTGAGTATTATTGCAGCTCTAGTGCTGCTTTGTTTCTAGTACAGAGGTTAGTGAGGCAAGGATTAGGAATGGAGCACTGACAAGGTTGAGTTTTATGGCTGAACTTGTGACATCTGAAGAAAACTGAATTTTCTGTCTCTTCCCATTCTTGTCTATAGTTTCACGACACTGTTATCAGATGAACACATCATGTTTCTGGAGTAGCTTTCACATACCACTTCTCATGATGAGTATTTCACTATCATTTTCCCTATTGGGACTATCTGCAAATGATCTGCTGCAGGTTTTATTCCCACTTCTTTAAATACCTGCTGCATGTTTGATCTTCAATTGTCAGTGACTAAGCTTGGTTTGGAGAGAACTAATATCATTTTGTTGATGCTGCTGTTTGCTGGAAGTGCAGAGCTGAAGAAGCCAAAAGGTCTGGCAATGGAAAATACTTCCAGAAAAGTGAGTTTTTTCCAAATACAGATAATTTTGCCATGCTGTCAGTGATACTATTTTCAGGAAAGTAGATCTTCCTGCGACTAATAATGTAGAATATTTTGAGGGCTATTGATACAACTACTCAAAAGCTACAGAAGAAATAGACTAGCAAGATTCATGTAAAAATTACTAACATTATTAAGAAAACTGAAGGCTGGAGGACAAGGCCGGAACAAGCCACAGCTCCAAAGAGGTAGATCAGTCAAACACAGACCAGTTCAGCATTTGTTGTGGAACAAAGCCTAAGATGTCCCTGTGAACACAGTCATGAGATTGGTTTGTTGATTTTTAGTCAACACGCTGAACACTTTTCAGGTTTAACATTCATTTTTACCCAAACATTATGACAATTTCAAGCACTAGTGCAAAAATATAACTTTAGAATACTGTTTTCCTGGTGATTTTATCAGAAAAATTGTCTGTTCACAGATGAAAATTGCCATTGGTAAACATTAGTGTCATGAGTCATTAGAATTCACTTCCCAAGAGTTGTCTATAAGGATTTTGTTTCTAAATAAATAATCTTTTTCAGATAGGTTTTCTATTAAAATAAGAAGGCAAGCAAAGGAATAGGGTGACAAGAAACAGATGAAAGTATTGATAGCTCAGTCTTGTTTATGTTAACTCACAAGTCAAGCATGTTGCTTGCAATAACAGTGGGACAAAAATGGATACAAATCAGGAGGAGACCTACTGTCTTGCAGCATTATTTCATCTGATCTGTGTATCTAAAGTCAGGAGAGTTCACTTGGCAACCGGATGCAGCATTTCCAGGGTCTACTACCATTTGCCTGCTGCATACCTCTGTTCTGGGAGGAAGATCTCTCAAAATGCAGTCTGAAGGTGGACCCAGCTGTGAGTGATATGTGGCATGTGTGGGGCATGCCAGTAAAATACTGTAGCTGTTAGACTACATTTAATGGAGACATGTTTTCTTGCTGGCTTATTACAAGGCTTTCCACAGCTTTGGGAGAGCTTACATGATTGAAGGGAACGTGTTTGATTCCAGATTGCAGAGGTACAAAGAAACAGCTGAATTAGATGTGACCAGCACTTACTTTCCTATTTTAACATCAAATGTCATGGTGCACTGACTGTTTCTATGGTCAGCTCTTAGTATCTTTTGTTTAGGAAAAACTTTAGAGAAGGACCAGTGTCTCAAAATGCTATATTTTAATGCCCAGTGAAACTCAGTGTGCACTCTTAAGACCTGCAGAAGTTTTGTCTTTTGTTTCATACTACCCAATAAAACTTCTGTGCTTTCAGTACATTGCATGCTTTTCCAACCTTTGAAAATATTTCATGTTCCAGAAGAAACATTAACAGGAAGGTTACCAACTTCAGGTAAGAACCTCAAAGGAGCTCCCTAAAGAGACTCAGTATCAGAATGAGAGCCATGTCCCTAATGCAGGAGCACTACTGTCCTCATTGGATTTTGGGATGCAGCTGGCCAGCAGAAGCACTGCACAGCACGGGATGGGAAGGGGCATCCAGCTGTTGTATGAAAGAAGGAAGCTTTTGCTTATTGTTGGGTTCATAATTAGGTTTTAATACCAGACGCCATGACTGCTGCTCAGAAGAAATAAATAGGCATCATGTTCTGGCATCTTGCCAGATAGACAGATTTTTTTACCATATAACACCAAAGTTTTCCAAGGTAGAGGGGAGAGGTCTTCCTGCCTCCTGCTTTCCTGCCCATATACAAAAGATGTAGAGCAGTAAGGAGCCTGGACACTGTGGTGAGTGCAGGGGAAAAAAAAAGCCAGAATGGGGCAGTGGTGCAGTGGTTTCAGACCAGCTTCTGGTGTCTTGAAAAACAGATGCTGCCGAGTCAGTGATGTCTCCATGTGTGTTCTGTTCTGTGATCCTGTCAGGGTGTAATTGTAAAGCAGTTTTGCTATCACAGCAAAATTTTCGTTATTATTTTTTAATCAAAGTAATCTATATGGTATAAGCACACTCTCTTGTTCTCTTTTTCCCCGTACCAAATGTTTGTTTGTTTGTTTTTATTGTTTATTACATTTGTTTTTCATTATCTGTACCCTATCTCAGTTATCAGTCAGGTATCAAAAAAATAACATTTTACTGGAATATTTGATAGGGACAAAGGGGCAGTGTTTGAACTGAATAGCAACTTGATAATTCTGTTGCATTTAGATAACTTGGAAAGCTTCAGTATATAGACTGGAAGAAATCAAAAGCCTGCATTTTGGCTTACAGTACTGAGAAACACCGAGTGTGGTTTCTGCTGCTGTCCATTGAGAACATATGAGCTGTTTTCTACTGGTTCCATCTGCCTTGCACACAAAAGTCAATGCCATGTAGGGCTTTTTTTTTTCAAGTACACGTTGTTCAATTTCTTTCTGTCACGTGGTTCTCTAACCACAAGCTGTTTTTAAACCATCAGGAGCAGGCCACTTTCCAGATGCCAAGCAGCTGGACTCTGGATCAGCATGAGCTGGAACCTCACCTCCATCCATAGAAAGCAGCCATCTGTGCTGCTGTTCCTTGGGGCTTATTTTAGGCTATATATGTTGGTTTTGGAGTAGACAGTCCTATTTTTTGCAGTATGCTTGTTCCCTTGAATTTGCTGTCATACCCACAGTCTGAGCTTGCTGTTTGATGCTGGTTACATAAACTTGGCCATTGTGTGAACAGTGCTGAGATTTGAAGTTCTAAACACAGAAATTGTATTATGATGACATCTTTTATCTATTTAACCATGTGGTCATCTTCTGTTTTCATGACATGCATGTGTGCACGTGTATATAAATATATTTAACTTTTGTTGTCTTTGTCTAGCAAATATTTGCTGCTGTTATTAGGAGTTAGATACTGTTGTGAAAGGCTCTGGTTCTGCTGATCTTATTCATTTTGCTGTCAGTCGTTTTTGGACATCTGTGAACTTTTTCAATGTTCCATACAACTAATACTGCAGTATAGAAGTTACTATTAAATAACAAACAATACCAATTAGAATAGGTGTCATGTACAGGATGAATATGAGTAGGATGAAAGTGGAAGTGTTTTCCATTCTCTCCTCATTCTACTATGTTTGTTGTTGTTTTTCACCTTTGCTTCATACAAATTGAAAGGTCAGATTTTATATCAAAGCCATTCTTCAAAATGGAGTATTAGTGGTAGATTCAAAATTCAGCTGTAGCTTCAAGGTGTTAAGGTGCCAACACATTTTCTATACAGTGGCATGTTTATTGGCCAAGAGACATTTTGGTGATTACTTCAATGTTTAAGGGAGGGAAAAAGAAATTCAGTTGCATTTAGAATGTTATATGTTTTTCAGTTAAAATTGTTCTGTGAACCAGAAAAGCATTCTATTAAAAACAGATGTTCGCTGTGCTGCCCTTGAGGGCTAGCATGACAAGATGAAGCAAGTCAATGATTATTGTTCTTTTGCTTGCTGCTTTTTTGTTGTTGTTGTTCTTTTTTTAGTGGACATGATACACACTGGAATTCTTCTCTCTCTAGGTGGTTTGTTCTGGATGCAGAAACAAGGGATCTGGTCTCAATACACACTGATGGCAACGAGCAGCTCTCAGTGATGCGCTATTCAGTAGGTAGGCAGACTTGTACATTCAGAATAATTGTGTGTTTTAGTTTCTGATAAGTGGGATGTTTATTCTCTTTAGCTGTGTTCAGTTACTCTCCAGTCACTGAAAAAGACAGAGTTTTGAAAAAAAAAACCCTGCATTAGGATGCTTAATACCTGAATAATAATCACAATAATACATGACTAATAATATCTGTATATTTGATTGTATATTTGTTTCTTGTATACTAAATCTCGGAACTTTGTAACTGCAGACATTGCAGTCTCCTTTCCCAGCCCTTCTTTCACATTCATCTGTTCTGTTAGCTTTTTTCCCAGAGAAATTAAGAATTCTCATTTAAAATTGTTGGCATGTTAACAGAAGAGAAAAAGCTACATATCAGCATTCAGTCTAGTCAGGCTGTAAATACCTTGGGATTTAAATAATATTTTAATAACCTTCTTACTTAATTTTTCAAGTTTAGTAATACAAAGCCATAAAACTACGTTTAGATCTGTCTGAAACTCAGAGCTGTTTGTTAAATATGTACTTATGTGATTACACGTACTCCAAAACAGTACTCTTCTCTTGGAGGTGGCATGACAGATCAGCAGAGGAATTCTCTGTTAAAACTGAGTAGAAGAAGAATCTCATAAATCTGTTTCTTGTTTGCTTTTGGATAATATGCAGTGTCAGTGAGTAAAATGCTCCTTTGCTGCTGCCACTTCTGCCAAGCGCGGTAATTTATTTCAAACCACTGTTGTTCATCGACACTACAGAGGTATTTAATTGTGACTCAAGGCAATCCTGACCACATTAACCTTTTTTTTTTTTTCAACTGGAGATAACACTGGTTAAAAAACTACTTACAATGACTGAATGATCCGTTTGTTATTTAGATCTTATTTAGTGCTGATTTATGTGAAATCCACTCCTCCCTCCCACAAAACAAAACAAAATGAACAACTATAACTTTGGAATAAATACTGTTCTGCATTTTTAGCAAAACAGAAAGCTCAAGCCTACCTGCTGTCAACAATTTCCATAAATGTAGTGCAATCTTAGGATTTGTACTTATTTGTACTTTATCCATTGGACTTTAATTTAAAAGAGAGAGGTGAAAGAATTTGCCCAAAAAACATACTCTCAAAATAAAAAGATACTGACTGAAAACCAATATAAAGAAAACAGTCATGTACCCTTAAATACCAAGCAATAGCTTAATTGAGACAATTGTCTTAGTGACAAATCTGAAATCATTAAAATTTGAAAAACAAAAGTTATGTTAGTTTATATCAAATATTTTAATTTTCTGTTCTAGATGGCACCTTACTTGCAGTTGGATCCCATGACAACTTTATTTACCTCTACATAGTAACAGAAAATGGAAGAAAGTATAGCAGACATGGAAAATGCACTGTAAGTTTTGGAGCAAATATAATCAGTTCTTTTTGTATTTTGATGTGATACTAGATGTTAAGCAGTGGAACAAAAAGAAAATCTCTAGATTGATGTTTTTCTACTTTTAATTTTGATTATAATTTCTATGTCTTTTTTAGCACTTAGTTAATTTTAAACTTCATCTAATCTGCAACTGTTAGTTTTCAGGTGAACACCTTTGCATCAAATATGAACAATTTTTCAGCTATTAACTGTTCTTTGAAATGGGAAAATAACAGTAAGATGCAGAAATGTCTTTTATTTAAATGCTGAAAGTCTTTCTGGGAAAACATTGCACTTGTTTGGAGTTATTTTTTCAAAGAATCATAGAATGACTTGGGTTGGAAGGGACTTTAGAGACCATCTAGTTCCAACCCATGTGCCCCAGGCAGAGACACTTCCCACTAGATCGGATTGCTCAAAACCCCCATGCAGTGTGACCTTTTGGGACATCCACAGCTTCTCTGGATAATCTGTTCCAGTGCCTCACTACCCTCTGAGTAAACATTTCTTTCTAATATCTAATCTAAACCTTCCCTCTTTTAGTTTACTGCCATTACCCATTGTAATCCTACCCTCTTTTAGTTTATGGCCATTACCCTTTGTCCTGTAACTGCACTCCCTGGTGAAGAGTCCCTCCGTAGCTTTCCTTTAGGCCCACTTTAGATACTGGAAGGTCTCTGCAGAGTCTTCTCTTCTCCAGGCTGAATCCCAGCTGTGTCAGCCTGGATTGTGTTGGTTCAACAGGGCCAAGTTCAAGGTCTCACACCTAGATTGGGGCAATCCCAAGCACCAGTACAAGCTGGACAGAGAATGTATTGAGGGCAGCCCTGAGGAAAAGGACTTGGGAATGTCAGTTGATGAAAAACTCAATACGAACAAGGCACTTTCAGCCCAGAAATTTCAGCCATGCTCTGGGTTGTATCAAAAGCAGTATGCCCAGCGAGTCAGGGAGGTGTTTGTACCCCCTCTGTTCTGCCCTCGTGAGACCTCACCTGTAGTACTACGTTCTCCTTCTCTGGAGATATTCAAGACCTGCCTGGACACCTACCTATGTGACCTGGTGTAGGGATCCTGCTTTGGCAGGGGGGTTGGACTCGATGATCTCTGGAGGTCCCTTCCAACCCCTACAATTCTGTGATTCTGTGATTCATGTCTGGGGCCCCCAGCACAAGGACGGGGGGCTGTTGGAGCAGGACCAAAGCAGGGCCACAAAAAACAAGCTGAGCACGTGGCCCACCTCTCAAGCCCTGGTCCCTCCAGTGTGTCATGCACACCACACTGCTTGACGTCATAGTTCTTGCATATTCCTATTGATAAAGTACTTCTTGGACCAAGGTAGCATTAGATGATGCAATTTCATTAGAATATATAATTTTGGAGACTGCAAATAAGCACTATTTTCAGCTGCGTTTTTTATTTCAACATTTGGAATAATACCAATAAATTTCTGGCCCAGGGTAAATAAATGCAAATGTTGTGCAAGTAATGAAGTTTATTTTAGTTCTTATGTTTACGTGATGTCCCAGTGCTTAAAAAGATTGGTTTCAAAAAAGACATATGTTTTTTCCTTTTCTTCTTAAGTTGTCTAACACCCTGGTTTTAGTTCAGACCTCTCTCGAGGTTATAGGGAATATTTACATAATGAACATCTGATCCTTAGTGGAACTCGTAAATGATATCATAAAACTAGGTTCACATATAAAATGTGGCTTTTGTTTTTTAAAGAATGCATCCCCTGCTCAAAACATTTCTCATGTGTTTATAATCAGCTGGGTTTCTTCAGTTTTAAAAATAAAGGACCTTCTCAAGCTGTTTTCTTAATTTGAAAGTGGATGTGAGAGGACCATAAGTTTAAACTATGCTTTATAATATGTTATGTTGGTAATCTTTGATACAAGATTCACAGTGGAACTTATTGTGGGTGGGAAACGGCTGGTTGGTGGCAAGTCCTTTAGTACCACATGTGGTATCTTTGAGAGATTTCCAGTTTCCAGGCCATTCATCTGAGGACACCCCACACCACCCAGTCCACGCTGTTTGAACACTGGGCATGCTGGGGACTCCTTGGGGGTGACGTGGGGTGAGCCAGGGTAGTGACAGCCAGCTCTACCCCAGCACAGTATTTCAGTTCATCACCTATTTTTCAGTTACAAAAGATAAAATCACTCAAGGACCTCTAATCTTAAAATACATAGTGTTTAGCTTGCAAAATGTCCATCAAGTTGTCCAAGTTCTTTGAAGAAATATGGGATCATTTATTTCTTTATATCTTATGTGTTGCTTTCCAGAGAGAGCATATTGTAATTTAAACCAGCATCAACTGGTGTTCAGACTCCTTGCCCTTTTGTTGAAGGAGAATATTTCAGAGAGCAACTAGTTTGCTGATAATGTCACTTTATTTCAGCAACAAATAAGCAGCCTCATAATTCCAAATCAGCTGGGAATATTGATCAACTACCAGTTTTCAGTGACTGAGGATGGTGAAGCTGTGCTAAAGTAACACCCCACTGGAAAGTGTTTCTCTCCTTCCCTATCCTTTTTGTCCTCGTGCACCCCAAGACTTTTTCAGATATGCAGCTTCTTTTTATACACCTGTCTGCCTTGGCTGAGGGCACGTAACATGGGCTGTAAAAACTGAGGTGGGAGAAACAAGCATTGTTATACTCAGGCATGAACAAGAATTCATGTTTCAGTGCTGATTTCTGTTAACTGTTCTTTTTCAGTCTGAGCAACTGCACGTAGAAGCCAGAATTAGCAGCCTGCTTTCTGTTGGGGCTGAGCTGCTCTGACCCTTCCAGCCCGAGCGAATAGCAGCAGCCTGCGAGCTGACCAACTGCATTGCAGGGATACCGGTTGGGTTTCACCCCTGTACCAGAGGGCCAAAACCAGCTTGATGTGAAGCAGGGTGGCACCCAGGAGTGCTTGGGACCTGGGGCAGTCCTGGCAAGGGCCTGGGTACTGGCGCTGCGTCCTTTTGGCATTCCTCTGTCATCCAGTAGCCTCACCGAGTGACCTCCAAGTAGTATGACTCAGTCCTCCTGCTAGTCGATTTCTGGTTGTTTCTTCCAACTTGAAAACATAGTTTGAATACTTTCAGAAGGATTTTATCTACTGAACCAGCATCAGCTTGCGTATAAGGGCTATATTCCCAGTGTTAAGTTTAAATCCCCTTTCAGTCACGGTGAGGCTTTCTGGGGCTTCTGCAGAGGCATGGCTGTGGCCTGTAGCATGTCTCTGCAGTGAGCAGTGGCCATGGCTGTGATCAGAAGGAATTCCAGATTAGCTGAAATGACTGCTTTGGCTTGTGCAGCTGTTTTTCAAGGGCCCCAGCTATGCAGACAGCAATGTGGAGGTATGGGCTAGGTTATGAACTTCCAATGTCTCAAGGCTAGCCACAGCCATTTCTGTTTGCCTTACAGCAGAGCTATCTGTTAGCAAAGGAGGAGCTAGTACTCTGTGTTTACCAAGAGGGCTGTGGGCTGAAAGCCATGTGAGCAGCCATGCTGAAGTATCTGATGCACTAAGCTTAGCCTGAATAAATGCCCGTCCTCTAGGCTGTGGGCATTTTGACTCTTAAACCACTGAAGTCTGAAGCAGACAAACATTTCCAGTGAAGGAGAGGGTTTCCATGTGGTCAAATTACTTTGCTAGCCAGAGATAATGTGAGCGATTATGGTCATCGTATGTAAAGGTACAGAAGAGAGTTAAGCATTGCTTTATCAGTAGCAGCTACTGAAGAAGGTTTTTAATAAAAATTTGGATTATTCTTCTTAAAAAATAGTGACAAAGTTATGTTCCGACTCATCATGCAGGGATTGCTTGCTCAAAGGGATTTCCCAGCATGGAGCCCCCTGGCCAATTGCATTGTTCTCTTCCCACCACCCCTAGGAATTTTAACAGCTGCCAAATGTCTGGCAGGATTTAGTAAATGACTGACCAATTCTTTTCCATCTTGGAGTTAGCTTGCAAATTTGAAAGCTTGGAAAATAAGAGGGGGAAAAGAATCCTAGCCAGTACTGCATTTATTTTTTTGTCAAAATACCAAGTTTGCCTGTTGATACAATATATCCTACCCATGACTGCAATGTAGTTATGTCAATACATGGAAACTAGTTCATAAATAAATCTTAGAGGATAACTTTTCTCATAAGTGTTTTTAGACCCTCTCACAGAAGACCTAGTGACAGACAGAGCAGGTTATATTTCCACATGTAACCCTGGGAGTGCTCAGCATCTCTTATGCCGTGCTGAAGAAGAGGTTGACATGGCACTGGACCAGCCCATACTCCAGTGTGGCCCTATGGGATGCTCAGGAACAGGCAGTGCTGCAGTGCCACGGAGCCTTGAGGGAGCTGAAGGGCAATGTCTTCCTGATGAGTAAGGGAGGAGAATGGGCAGCTGTCTGTCATGGAGGTGGCATGCTGTTGTCCAGCAGGTGGTTGGGGAAGGGAAAAATAAGCAGTCTTGCCTTGGGGAGAGGAGCAGAAAGAAGAAATAGAAAAGTAGAAGAAGAAAAGAGTGAAATGAATGTCATTTCTACAAAAAAATTTTTTTTTTTTACCCTTTGCAAATGGGGATTCTCTTATCTTTATTCTTAGTATTACTACTGTCAGCAAAAATACCTAATGCTTAAGTAAAACATTCTACCCAGACACATTTAGTTTCTCCTGCAGCACCAAAGATGGGTATTTAGTGCTTGATGTCTTATTGGTAACTGCAATCAGGCAAAGGAGTTTTTATTAGGCAGGGTGACCTGTGTAGTAGTATAAGAGGATTCCACTTGAAGTTGGCATTAATTAGTATATATGCAGTGTAAGACATTGCAGAAGCTTTCATAAAGATTGTAGGGGTTTTCTTGTAATGCTTCCTTATCTTGCAGTTTTACGTGATGGTTATTGATCAAAATGTCCTAAGTTTTTAAGATAAGTAAAGAGAGAAATAATCTCAATGTGGATGCATGTATTTGAAATTATTCTGAATGGATTGTGAAGTGTTTTGATGAAATCCAAAAGTGATCCTTTGCAAGTTAACTTGCCTTTCTGAATTAGTCACAGTGTATACTTTCTTAATGCAAGTACAAATGTGAGCTCATCAGTATTTTAGCAGTGTACCTTCTCGGAGTAAATCAAGCTGTGGTCCGGGCGGGACGACAGTGTTTACCCATGAGGAATCTGCCGTGCTGTGGGGAGGCAGGGTGCCCAGCTGTGTGTGCTTGGCTGCTAGTGAGTGTGGCTCTGGGCAGTAAGCAGCCTTTAAAGGAGTGCAAGTAGCAGGAGGTGGGTGGGGAGGTGCTTTTTTCCTGCTAGCTGTCCCATCCGTGGTTGCAACTTCTGCTGCTATTTTATTTAAAATGTGTGCTTCGTGTTGATGTTAATGCATTCTTCCTTAGGGACATTCCAGCTATATTACACACCTTGATTGGTCCCCAGACAACAAGCATATTATGTCAAACTCAGGAGACTATGAAATACTATACTGTAAGTATGATGTGAAATGTACTGGAAACAAAAACATGTATTAACTATCACAATATTTAGAAGAATGTGTTTGATCGAGTCTGTGCAAAATGCTCGCTGACTAATTTGAACTCTTGTAACCTGATATCTTGATGTTATTCAGAGCTGTGTGTTACCTAATGGCAATGCCAAATATAGCTTACTTCTTTACAAGGTCATAAATCAAGTTAACAGCTTAGAATTTACAGAACAAGTGGCGCTACGTTTTGATGTTGGCTCAAATCTCCATAGATTGAAAATAATATATATAGCTGTCTAATTTGTGTCAACAGTACTGGTTATTTTGGGGGGGATAAAATCAGCAGGTCTGTGCCTCTGTTCTGTTGGGTTTTTTGTTTATTTGTTAACTTGACTTTGACTGGTGATGCTGAGAACTGAGCAAAGCAATAATATTACGTTAATGAATTAATGATTATCTTGTTTTCGCATTTGTCTTCTTTATATGTGAAAATATGGATTTAATATATAGTAATTAGGCCACAAGTTCAACTTGTTTAGTGTATATCAGTCTACACTATTTTTTTATAATGTTCATATAGTTTTAGATTGGAAAAAAAGGACTACAGTTCTGTTGCTGCATAGACAAGAAGAGCCAGAAGTTTAAATATCTGACATGTTGACATGTTCCTTTTGCTTGTCTCTGCTTAGGCTTCAAATCTGGATAGTGCAGTGTCTGACTGTAGCAAAAGGAAGTGTTGGTGATTATAACTGCCTGCACAGGAAAGCAAAGAGCTGTGACCCATTGGCATTGGGCTGGTTTATTGAAAGATAGACTTTTTGTTGGGAAGCAATCTTTCCTTTCTATATCTAGTTGAAAAGCTGTCGAAGTAGTTGCAAGTCCAAGTAGTCTCTGGCAGCAGTTTCTCATTGTTTTAAAAGCAGAGTTTCCTGAATGGTTGACTGATATTTAGTATGCTCATCAAGCTGGTAGGAAGGAGAGATTCAGCTATTACATTAAAGCATTTATTGCATCAAAATGTTTTGTAGGCTATTCTACAGTAGCAGTGGACTCAAACTACAGGGAAGTGTATTTGAGGTATGCTAATCTCAAAATGGAAATGAAAATAATATGTAGCTCTTAGATACTGGGCAAAGCGTCAGGTGTCTAGAAGGTACTGGTGTATCTTTGCCTCTACAGTGCAATTCCAAGTTGATCTTAAGATTTGTTTTGTTACTGTTTCTATTAATTTTAGCATCTTTAAAGAGCACTTGTATAAATGTGAGGGTATATGCTATAACTCTTATTTCACTTTTATTACAGGGGACATTCCAAGTGGCTGCAAGTTGATCAGGAATCGTTCTGACTGTAAGGATATAGATTGGACAACATACACTTGTGTGCTAGGCTTTCAAGTGTTTGGTAAGTGCCATTTAATTTGCTTTTAAGCTACTTGATGCTTTTGTGATTTCCTTCTGGGGTGGAGGGGTCAGCCCAAAGAGACTATTGCACTTGTCTGTGATACAGAGCATTTATACTGCACAGTGTAATTGTAATTGATATCTATTAAATCTTGAAGTGTAGTATTTGATTTTTCTCTTGTCATTTTAGACTACTATCTTTGGGGAGTTTGAACTAAAAAGCTGGTATTTTTAGGTGCTCTTATGGTACAGGTAGATTGCTCTTTTCGTATGTTGATTGGGATAGAAGCAAGACTATGCAAGTTTAAGATATAGTTCATGACTTAAAATCATGACAGCACCTTGATAGCTGTAGTAAAAAATAAATAATAAACACTGGTTTTAAACAGTAATAGTGCTTAGAAAGTAAAAGGTTGTATACCTAATGATTTATTTCTAAAATGTAAAAAATAATAATAATAATTTCACAGCTGACAGATATGTTAATAATCTAGTCTGGGACTGTACGCAACTAGTTCAAGCAGCTCCTGCTGATAGCAGCTCTGACCTTAAACAAGTTGCTCCTCTGTGTCAGGTTGAAAAGTACTATGCGATCCAATTTGTGTGAGCAGGATGATGAATGTTTTGCTTCTACCGGTGATCAGATACCTCCCTCAGTTGTCCAAATTGTAGGAAGCACCAAGAGCAGGTAAATCAGCAGAAGGGAAGGTTAGGTCTACAATTCTTTTCAATTGCTAGGAGTTCATTTCTGAATATCAGTTTATACAGGGTAGAAAAAAATCAGGTAACTTATTTGCTTTCTTGTAGCTTCTGACAGCTATCATTTATATTTTTAGGAGTGTCAGTTGCTTAATGAGCAACTAGTAAAAAGATTAGTCAGCAACTAATCAAAGGTTTGCGGGTTTTGGGGGGCTAACTCTAATGCTGTTGCGTGGCGTAGAAATTAGGTGGCAGGAATCTGGAGGCTTTATAACCAGGCCTCATGTCTCTGAGTTCCAAAGATCTGAGGCAGAGCAAAGTGAATAAAGGGATCAGGGAAAGAATCTCACTGGTTGATAAACTGCACAAGTGCTTTTTAGGTATTCAGAGCTTGAGAGTAGGTATCAAAAACAAGCAGGCATTTGCTCTTTCTGGAGCTGAATGCAGTTGTTTAATGCAGTTTTAATAAAAAATATTGGCTTCCATTATCCAGATAAATGTGTACCAGATTGTCTATGTGCATGTTTTTATTCATTTTGTCTGTGAAATTTAGATTGGATGGCTGTTTCCTCTTGATGCTCTGTACATGTCAGCCCAGGCTGATTAAAGCTATCAGTTCATAATAGTCATTTCCTTACTTTGCTGTTGTGGGGCTACAACTGAAATAATAACATAACACAAATGCATTTTTGAAGTGGAATATCAGAAGATTCAGGAAACAATAACATGAAAATCAAAGCTCTCTATTCCTGCTAATATGACCTTTCTCCAGGAGCAGTGAAAGCACTTTGTAAGGGCAAATTAACTGACTGCTCTTTCTGGCATAGCCTGAGATCTGAGGCCACTTTTTGTTTTATTTGGTGTACTTTTGTCTACCAAAAATTGGGGGAGTGGAAGAAGGTGGCTTTGCTACTGATGGAGTTATGTCACTTGGTGGTATAAGAGAGAAAAAGTAAAGGGAGCAGCTGATCCAAGCACTTTCCCAAAAGAGTCTGACATGGAAGTGTGTATGAAGCAAAGGTTTGGAATTGAATCTTTCCATGCAAAGTAAATGGTACCCACTGACATTTATCAATGCTTGCTGAACATTTTTGGAGACAAAACAGTGGACATAAATGAGCACAGTGAGGCAATGGGTGGTGTATTTCATCAGTGGTGACAGCAACATTGGATCAGTAGGCTCTTGCTCATCACTGGTTAAAATAGTGACTGTGACTGTATTAAAAATGAGTGTTGTATAGCTGAGAATTTGCTCTATCAAATAGTGTTACTATACTCTTTGTATCTGTTGTAGTTTCCATGGAAATAAGTAGGAGGTATTACTTTCAGAGCAACCTACGTATTTAAACTTACTAGACAAGATTCATCATGCTTTAATTTTGTATTGTCTGGTGGTTTGACACCACTTTCAAAATCATATAATTGTGGCTTGTTCCCAGACAAAGGCAAGAATTTTCCCATTAAATCAGACAGTGCAGATATTTGCTGCTGGCTTTGACACTAGGGTGAGCTGGCTCAGGGATCCAAAAAACCTGGGCGCTGCTCACTTTGATGTTCAGGAGAGAGGGCTGAATTTATGGGATTTAGGCTTTCAGGAGCATGTGTTTTACAGATTCAGCTCTGTGGATGGTGTCTGTAGGCACAGGCATTGCACTGTTGTTGGCAGATGAAAGAGGATGGAAGCACACAGTGGGGATGAGAATAGCATCGCTCCATTTTGGCTCTCGATACTACTGTAGTGGCTTAGTGGTATCCTCAGTCTGCACGCCGAGCACTTGAAGTTGCTTCTTGTTTACTGCACATTTTCCACACTTCTCCCTGAGCAGATTCTTTTGCGAGGCTTACTCCTGACCAGCAGAATTTATTGAAATTGAAGTACAGTGTTGTTGTTTTTTTTCTTGTTTTAAAATTCTTAAAAACTCAGAACTTAGTCACTTTAATGCCTTAGCTTCTCATGCTTTCCAGCTGCATTGAAAGTGAACCCTGCTTTATTATATTAAAAGATTGCCTGGCATTTATAAAAACTGAAGGAATTTTTGAACACAAAAAAGACGTTTAATAAGGGATGCAATCTTGAATATTAGTCTTTTTAATCTTAAATTAAAAAGAAGAGAAAATAGCCTAGCTGTTTAGCACTGCCTGCCTTAGGTGCTAGCTGAAACTTCAGAAAAATGGCTTGAAATTCATGATGACAGTATTTTATATAAGGAATTCAGGAAAAAGTTAAAATTAATTCATTTTGGGCTACTTGGAAATTGTTTAGTATATTTTTCAGATTGAATTCATTGGTGCAAGAGTATTAAAATATTTCTGAATACCTTCCGCAGTATTTCATATCCTTAGTGAATAATATGCCATGTCGTCTACTGACACTGCATTGAATGTGATAAGCTGCCTTTGTTATTGGTCAGAGAAAATGAAGTTCTCACTCCACCCACTGAAGAACTGGGAGGGGGAAAACAGCTTTAAAGTTAAATGTTTTTTGCCATTTTGCTTAAAAAGAAGAAAAGGTAAAGTAGTGCTATGTCTGAGGTTGTGATGTATAAGGTAGTCAGCAGCATGTGCTTTTTATTCCATCAAAATCAGTGATTATAAGGAAGAAGGTTTTTTCATATCTTAGGGTGGATATCTCTCTCAGTAAATCAGACACAAAATTCTTCTTGAGGTGGAAAAAATTGAAAGGAAAAAATCTTCATAACTCTCAGGTTAATCAAAAAAAATTACTCTCAGCTACAAAACCTGGCACCATTGGCATAAATTTCTATTTTATGTTACCTTGCTTACTTTTCTTTCAGTTTTTCTCACAGGTGTCAATCACCAGTTTCCTTATTATAATCTCTGAGATCTTTATTTTTGTTCAAACTACAGTCTCTCCCCTCCCCAAATTGTTCATCCAACTGCTTTTCATCCAAGCAGTGTTGTTATTCTTTTGTCTAGACATATCAGTGTCTTATTTTTTTACTTAAAAGCATATTGAATTGTACTTAAGCAGTTGACAGCACTTTCATCTATGAAACTTGCACAGTCTGGGTTTCTGTGTAAAGTATCATCAATCGTCTCTGTTGAATCATGCAAATATTAAAAATTGCAACAACAAAAAAACAACCTCTGAATAATGTACAGTACTTTGGCTTGTTCCATACTTCAGCAGCAGTCTTGCTTTTAAAATGCTTGTATATAAGTCAGTGCTAATTTAAGAGTTGCTAGTCTAAGCAACGAACTTAATCTTAAAATCAGCGTTAGGGAAGACTGAGGTTTTCACCAGGAAATATATCAAGCCCAAGAGGCTATGTGGGCCAGGGCTGAGGGCCTGGGGATAAAGGGACTGTGGGAGAACAGCATTAGGCTGACAATGACTACAACATTTAATTCAACACCTGCTCCATTTGCCAATTGAATTTTTTGTTTTTCTTTTGTCATGCTTGTCTGTCACAGCTGTATAGATTTTGTTTGATAAATATCCACTATCCAAATATCTGCACTCCTCTCTCCTAGGAGTATGGCCTGAAGGATCAGATGGGACAGACATAAATGCTCTTGTCAGATCCCATAATCGAAAAGTGATAGCAGTTGCTGATGATTTTTGTAAGGTCCATCTCTTTCAGTATCCCTGTTCCAAGCCAAAGGTAAGTCTAGACCAGCCTGATCTTATGTGTATGTTTGCACTACACGATGATTTCCTTGCCAGACACCTGCTTTCAACCTGGTTGTTTTGGATCCTGGCAACCAAATCTGTGAGAACAGCACTGGAGATGAAAGCATGCTTTTATCCATTAACTTAATAGTTGGTACATAAGATTAAGATTTTTATAACGTGAATTTATTTATGTATATATGCTGAAGTAGCCATAAATAGTTATCCTTAAGCTCTGGAGCAGAAGTTTGATACATTCTGTTCAAAGGCCTTAATTCATAGAAACATTATGGTTGGAAAAAACCTCTAAGGTCATCTAATCCAATCATCAACCTACCACCAATATGTCCACTAAACTTTGTCCGTAGGTGCCTCATCTACATGTTTCTTGAATGCCTCCAGGGACGGTGACTCCACCACCTCCCTGGGCAGCCTGTGCCAGTGCCTGACCACTCTTTCAGAGAAGTTTTTCCTAGTTTGGTGTCAAGACCATTACCTTTCAAATAATGTTCTATATTTGTCCTGAGTTGTAAACATTAAGAAGAGAAGATGTATTGTATGGGGAAATCTAAGCATATATTGGTACTTTTATATGTGAATGAAGGGCTGAACGGTATTAACTTTAGATTTCAGTATCCTGTGTTTTTGTAATGAAATGTGTGATTTTTCTTTCCGGCTTATTTTAATAGGCTCCGAGTCACAAATACAGTGCTCACAGTAGTCATGTGACAAACGTCAGCTTTACCCATAGCGATAGTCACTTGATCTCAACTGGAGGGAAAGACATGAGTATTATCCAATGGAAACTTGTGGAGAAGGTAACTCTACCACAAAATGACATTGTTGTAGACATCGGTGCAACCAAAGTGCCCATCCCTGCCAGTGAGAATGCTGTACAGTCTTCTGCTCCCCTCCCGCAGCCTTTTAACGAAATGAACCAAACTGAAAGTGTAACTGGCAGCTCTCCGGCTTCCCTGGAGAGCAACTTGGAGCAGTCTGCGGAGGCCAGTGAAGAGCAGAGTGAGGAGCAAAGTGATGGGAGCAGCCTGGACCCCGCCGAGCCAGGCTATGAGGAGCCCTCCAACGAGACGAGTGAGGAGCACAGCGAGTCCACGGTCACTGAGGAGCAGCAGGAAAACTCGCCAGAGTCATAATGCTCCCAGCTCAGATGGTTGTTATTTTCTCTTGGTGTGCGTGCTTTCATTACAGGGTGAGGGTTCAAATAGGCAAAAGTAGCTGAGATTCATGACCACTCCAGCTTTTTGAGTTTTGGTGAAATTTTTAGTCTGAGCTTCAGTTCAATATGTGGAACCATCCCAAGGGCCTGGCTTCGATGGTTTGTATCAAGATCTGGTCAAAGTTAGTAGTGGACATTATCATAGATCCATTGTAGTTCTGAAATTGCTGTTAGGAAGTGGCATGAAATATATACTGGAAAAAAAGGTTAGCTCTAAGAATTAGCTGAGATAGACCACCTTACCTATGTGAAAGGGCTTTCTGAAAGAGCTAAGCTGATGGGAAGCACTGAGCAATTCCAGCTGAGGAGTTACCGTGCTGCTTTTTCTAGGTGCGAAGACAAACAAAAACCAAAAATCTCTTGGTAGGGCTGTTTTCCTTTGTTTTTTCTTAATGAGAAAAATAGAGGAAAAACAATGTAATGATGCCACGTGTATGGCAATGCCTTCTTGATCTAACACATATGCAATTTTCTAACACTACTAATTCCTAGTGGAGTCTGGACATGCTCACAGTTGGTCTGCCCTGGGTGCTGCTCGTTCTAAGGCAAATCCTATCGAGGAATGGTGTCAGCTGTTCCATTTTTATAGGCTACTTAATAACAGACTAACCAAATACTGGTGTGTTTCACTTTTCATGACCTGAAAGTTGATTAAAACAGTAGGATCCAATTGTCTCTTCAAAGAATTGCTTGCCTAGAGAGTCTTTACAGTGACTTCGATGTGAATGGCAGAGAATGCGCGACAAGAACACAAGTCAGATGGGCTCCAGAGTTAAGCTTTAAGCCTTCAAGCAGAACTTGCTCCATCCGTAGTAGGAGAAAAATACAGTTAACTTAAATTATTAAATTGGTGCTTGGGATTAGTATATTAAGTTGGTAATTTTTTTCTTAATTTTTTAGAGGTAACTCTTGGAATCATTAAACTGCAATCTTTCTTTTCTTTTTTTTTTTTTAACTCCAGTTCCTTTCGCAGTGGTGATAGAAGCATACAGCAATTTAGATGATGTGATTTTTTTGTTGTTGTTTTTGTTTTCAGACTTGCTGATATATTTTTGTGACTTTGTTTTTTCCCATCCCTACTTCCCCACCACCTCTCTCTCCCCAGGTTGCTCTACGCCATGCAGCTCTCATGTGGCTATACCTGGCCAGTTACGGGATATCTTGGCATTTGTTATGCATTTGGAAAGTAATTTTTTTTTTAATGAAGTTTGTCAGATAGCTACAATTTTTTCTTAAGTGCATACGTTTCCTACTTTAAAAAGATATAGTTTTACTGACAGATATCCATTTCCTATGTACTTGTTTATATTTTGATTACATAGAATTTTCTTTTTTAACTTGCTGCATTGTGCTGGTATTTTAGTTCTTAGTTAGAATATCATGTTTAGATACTTTGGATGAGTTCATAAGTCTTAATTGTGCAAGCGTTTACGTGATTGTGCCATTCCAAAGTGCATCAAAACTGTCATTCCCTTACTAGTATCTTCTCAGGAGAAATGCTACAGATCAGGTATTTAGTCATCATTTGGAAAGATAAAAAAATAAATGGACTCCCAAAGGACATTTAGAACATTTATATATAAAATATATAAATATATATATACACACATATATATATATTAAAAAATATATCCTCTTGTTTACAACAGTTCCAGAAAACCTCAAAGTAGTTCCCTTCGGATGGAGGGAGAAATGGATTCCAAGCAACCCATCTGTTTAAACTGTGCTCTGTACATAGTGTTTTACTGGAGAGCTCTAGTTTGCCTGACTTGCAGATTTGCCAAATAGCAGCAATGGAAGATAAAGATCAGCTTATCAGACTGTATGGTTCCAAAGGAGGAGTATGCCATAGGTTTAGAAAATAATCCTAGTAAAGGAAAAAGGATTTTAGAGCTAATGAGGCACAGAGCTCTCTGTCATTTTTATGAACTCCACGTAAGCAACACATTTCATTTGGAACATCTGTCACCTGGGGTTGCCATGTAAAGTGAGAGTTATATAGTTGTGATATTCTTGTGTTTGTAGTTCAGAAGACTCTACTAATATGCAAAAAGCCTTACAGCTTTCAATTGCTGGCAACTACTGTTTAACAAATAATTAAATCTGTGATAATGGATGGAAATGGGTGGGATTATGTAACAGTAGATGTTTTAGAAAAATAATTGTGAATGAATTAAGAGTGTTTCATGTGAAGATGTTTGAGCCATTTCTATCTATCATGCATTCCTGTCTGAAGGCAGAAAATTTTGAAGATTAAAAAAAAAATAAAGCAATCAAAAGAATATATTGCAGTGTATTTTTCATATCTGTCCTGGCTCCTTCTGTATGCAGTGTGCGTGTTGTGGTCACATTTGTGATGTCTGGGTCTGTTGTCTTAGAAGACAAGGAAAAGGACCTCACTTATCTTGTGCTTTCTTGATGACTTTCTAAAAATAATTCATTCAGCATCAGGAGCATCAGCTGACACCCCTAAATATTGCTTATTCTTACTTTTCAAATGTTTTGATGGGCATTGTGGGATTACAGGTAAGTAAGTATCAGTCCTGGTATGTATTGCAGGCTTACCTTCCTGGGTTCTAGCTGCTACTGCAAGTCATGTGAAAAGAACAGGATTATTTGTGAAATAATGCGTTACATATCATGATGCTTCCACATTGCTGATGGTCTCTGTCCAGTTGCAGATGAAGAAGGTCATAGAATCATTTGAGTTGGAAGGGACCCTTACAGGCCACCTGGTCCAACTCCTTTGCAATGAACAGGGGCACCTACAACTTGATCAGATGCTCCAAGTCCCTCTGCCTGACCTCAGATGTCTCCAGGGATGGAGCATCCAGATCCTTTCTGAGCAACATGTGCCATTGCCTCATCACCCTTATCATAAAAAAAAAAAAAAATTCATTATATCCAATCTAAATGTCCCCTCTTTCAGGTTAGTTTAAAACCATTTCCCCCTTGTCCTATCAAGGGTCACAATATGCTTCAGTTTCTTAATATATTCCTTGTGAATGATTCTTTGTCTTTTTTAAGGCTTTGAATCGTATTACTTGCAGCTGGTTCCTGTCATTTGCAAAAGGATGAGGTGGAGAAGAAAGAAACCTCCAAGATAGCCAAATACCTTACGTTTATCCTTGCTTAAAAGCACACAAAAACAAAACAAAAAAACAAACCATCACTGCCACATCCTGAGTTTGACTGGGGACCTCACTGACTCTTCCATCAGATTACGTAGCTGTTCTAAACTGAACAAGCAGGTGCCTTAAGATCAAGCTATGCTGTTTCCAGCACACCCACAACATCACGTACCACTGGAATACGGGCATGCTCTTCCTGGCTCTGCTCCCTTTCTGTCCAAATTCAGCACAAGGTTTTGCTGCTTTCCCTGGGCTGCTCAGTAAGGTGGGAAGCAGCCTTACACATGCTGGAAGCAGGATACGGCTTCAGGTGCCTGCTGGCGTGAGACAGCATCTTCTGCTGCCAGCTTAGGCAGCTTGTAATGGTGATGGTCTTTGTCATGTGGAGCTGAAGTTCAGAGTGGAGGCTGCGCTTAAGATATAAAAACTATTGCATCCCGTTGAGCATGACTGAAACTTTGAACTCTGCATTAAAATGTTTGTTTAGGTTGCATAATTAAATGCTGGAATGTTAGAAAATGTCCAGCATATGCATCCTTATGATATGCATCCGTATTCATATGCTTCTCATGTGAGGTGATATTAATTGGGTTTTCTACATATAAAGGGATACGATATGATAACATATTATGTGGAGCTTTTTGTTTTCCTTCCATGGAAGCTCCAGAGTAGGTAAGAAAGAGACTACAGATGTAGATGGGTGAGGGAAACCAAGCATTTCTTACGTTTGATCTTCCTGTAGTTCTCATTATGAATAACAAGTTCTTGCATATGATGTGTGTTAAGTTCCAGCCTCTTGGCTTTATTTAATCATCTCTAGAATGCAGAGATTGTGGCTTTAGTTTTTCTTTGAAAATGGAGCAAAAATTACATTTTATGACACTGATAACAAGACCCTGTCCAAAATGTAGACTCTGTAAGTTATACTCCTTTATATTTCCTTCAGTTCAGTGCAGTATTTCAGCTGAATTGGGATAAGTAGTAAGCCCTTGTGAAATTTAAGCTAGACTGAGCCAAAGAAAAAAATTCTCCTTTCTGCTGCCAATGAATTGTTGATTCCTGGCAACAAAAGGATTAATATTACACGAGATGGATTTTACTTGTGTGAGACTTGTGCTGCTTGTTTGCTTTCCTTCTGAACAAGTCCAAGCCCATTGCCTAATCCTTATTTCTCACAGATGGTTTATGTACTAATACTTTAATCAACTGAGAATGAAAACCTGCCTACAGTGGGATGTACAATCAGGAATCAGAACAGCATATGTATTGTAAACTGTTTAATGTATACAGAGATGTATTTGTGTGTATATACGAGCATCAAACAGATAAGTCTTCCCAAGGCTATTTTTTTTAATGCTTGAAAGAGAAGGATAGGTTACTGCCCTTACGCTGCAAGGAAGCACAAGCTCTTAAGGAGGTTTAAGAGCATAGGGAAAAGGAAGCATTCCCAGCAGGATGTGAGGTGAGAGGGATGGGGTGGAATTGCAATGGTGGGACTGCATTTCCCATCTCAGTGCTGCAGGACAGGCCCCATGGCTCCCTGTGGGTCTGGATACACACTGTCATTGGGATGGATCCTGACATATCTTCTAGAGGTTAATGCTTCAGAAGAAAAAACTCGCAAACTCGAAGCATTTTACCAGGTAAGTGAAAAACCCCCCTCAGAGTTTGCTTTCTGACAACCATTGTGCTTTGTTTGTTCATTGGGATTGCTGCCTAAAACACTATCATTTAACTTAGTAAAGGCTGTCTGGATTATAGTCATTATCCCTACTTTTTTTTTAATGAAGTGCATTAAAGTTACTCTTTCTAGAACATATTTCTGTATGGTGAGCCAAAGAAGTGCTCGAGATAGCTCTTGAGATACTAAATTCCACGCTTTGAGATGTTTCTTCAATCTGATGGTTTGTTGTGCACTGCTCATTTCTCAACCCTGCTCTGAATCTCCCATCACACAGCCTGCTCTCATCCCACACACATCATTGGCCTTCCAGTCTGAAAACAAGAAGGGACATTTGCTTATGATGGTGTTTCAGAACTTAATTCCCTTAAATAGCCCATCTTGTTATTCTAGTCAGTGTCCATACATCCCCTTCTTCCCCCCCCTCCCAGTACATATCCATTAAATCCTTGTTCTGGAAATAAGTTTAACTTATGACATAACTTATGTCCATTCATGTGCCTTTGTTCAATAAAATTATAGAGGAGGGGATGTCCTACGCTGTCTACATCTGATGAGGGTACTACTTCAAAGGCCAACTACTATGGAAGTGGTATGGAATTGATTCCTAATGTTTTTAAACGAAAGCCTTTGTCTGGTACTGTGTGGATGATGGGAGTAGAATTGGGAACTTTGAGACTGAGATAAAAGGAGATGAGAACAAACATCATGTTATTGTTGCATTCGGGAGGCCTGGAGACTGACCCTGAGCTCAGGAAAAGTAGAACAAAGCACAGAAACAGTTTTCTATCTGACAGTGAGAAAAGAAGAAAACTGAGCTATGTAGCATGCAGAGGAGGTAAGTGTATGCTAAGCTCCCATTGTTTCTTCTGGCACAGGGGTGAGTGTGAGCTGCATCCCTGCTGGGCTCACTGTTTTAAATTGTAAAACTCCCCTGCAGGTAGAGTTTCAATGGAAAACATTGTTTTTGGCTTTGCATTAGTTGGACTTTTCCTTGAAGGTTTGGACACTGCAGAATTAAGACCAGAGAGAACAATCACAAACTTGTGCACATGCATATACACAACACTGTTAATGCTAATGGGATCTTTGTCATGAATGTTTAATGTGAAGTGTCTGTAGCATAAACAGAACTCCTATTTGCCCCAAGTTCAGCAAATGAAAGTGTTGGTTGGAGTGTATTATGTGAAGCTGGGTTTCTTGCATCAAAAGCTGTCATGCGTTAACATTGCTTATATCCTAAATTGTGAAGGGTAGTTTTGTGGTGTTTCTGCCACTTGGGTGGAAAACGTGAGACATTTTAAACTACTGAAAAATCTTACCTAGGACAGATTTGTCAGAGTAGGTGTCCATCCCACGCTTAGTCAGGACTACGTGCACACCCACATTAACCTCAGCTTATATTGGAGAATTTTGATATAGGCTCAAGGACTAAATGATATTGCTTGTGAATGGATGTAAGTCCCTATACTTAGCAAACCAGCCAAAGGTTGCTGTGGGCTGCATTCTGCCCCACAGTAAGTTACAGAGGTCCGTCAAAGTTTCTGTTTTTTTGTGAGCGCTATGCTATGGCATATCACCATTGTCAGTTCTGGTGATATTCTTGGAGCAGTTTCACTGACTTGGATTATTTCCTCCCACAGTGTTTTCATTTTAGCAGCAGCATACAGATACGAAGATCCATGAATTTCAAAGAGCGGAGGAGAAGAAAATTTTTGTACTTGGAATTCTCATTTACTGCATTGATT